AGTGCATAGTCTTGATTGTAACAATAATAGTAGTTGCAGTACTTTCCCTAGGTATCCATTCACTGCTTAAATGGAAATAAGTCACTGAGCTTTTTAGGTTATCATAGGTAATTTATGCTATGTATAATAATTGTTTTACATGTACCTGTGTCTAAATAAAGTTACTTCTCTTCTAGGTAAAATGCTATGTATGATTTGACTGTATAGCCCTTGTGGTTTAGCACTTCTTTTTTTACTATTATAGTAATATGTACAATGGGATGCATTTCTTTCACTGAATTAGATCAATAACTGTCTTGAACTTGACCAGCAATTCTCTGTTGCATTTCCATCATCATTGCTTCCAGCCTTGAGGCAGGAATGGAGATGTTCCCATTACTGAACATGATGTTACTGTTAACTATATCACCCATTGTACTTGTTTTGAGAACCATCCCTCCCTGTCTTGCCCTTTTATCCTTGTTTCACAATGCACTATCCATATATTAATTGTGTCTCAACAATAAGAATGTCCCTCCCTTTTTTTTTTAGCACTGAGGCAGAAGAAAAAGAAGGTGAAAACAAGGTTCTGACATCACTGAGCTCACACAAGAGTCAAGACACAGTACAAATCGTGCAATCATCAGGAAGAGAAGAAACCTCCAAGTAAACAGCACGTATCCTAAGAAAAAGAAGAGGGACTTCTGTGTCTGCCTTTTTTATGAGTATGGATGTCACCCCTCTATCTTCACTTGAGTATTGATGATGACTTTTCCTGTTTTTCTTATTGCATCACTTGGCCATATCATACATAACCCACTGGGCATTTGGTTGTGGCTCCATAACAACAGCGGAATGCTGCAGAAGGCCTATTGGCTCATACTAGATAGATTCAAGTCAAACTCAGTCTCAATCACTCTTATACACTTCCAGCCAATGTTTAAAGGTAACTTAAGGTCTTGCTTCAATGACACTATCTGCAGTTGTATTATAGTGTCATTGCAATTGTGCTGTTGCCAAACCAGCCCCCTCTCTATCCCTTTTTAAATATAAATTTGGTTAACTTGAATCCATTGCTACAAGTTTTGATTTGCTTTGATATTTTCAACATGTTATTTATATTCCTTTTATTTATTTCTGTTTTCCATTTGTACCCTAAGTCTTGTTCTGCCCTATTTCTATATCTTTCCTGAGAGTGCAAATTCGGTTCCTTCGGGCTTCAGCCTATCAAACCATGGTACTGGTGGGATTTGAACCCATGGTGAGTCGTAAAACTCCAGGCTGGCGTTCAAGCCACTCAGCCTCTATTGTAATAATGTAAAATAATGAATAATTAAAATTGACCACTCCATAACCCATGTCTAGTTTTAAGGAGTGTGTAAGCATTAGGATTAGTCTGCCCAAAATGCTCAGGCGTGTTAGTGGCTTTCTTTGTGCTTAACAATATTTTATGTGTAAATCACACATTCTATACTTTGCAAAGAAATAAAAATTTGAATCTGACCAGCTGGCTACAAAAAGACTCATCCAGCTCCCATAGGGAGGTTAAATGAGTCCCACTAACCTCCTTATGGTGTATAAATATATCTAGTTGGATGAATCTTATTGTAGCCAGCTGGCCCAGTGGCTTACGCACTGGCCTGGAGTTTTATGACTCACTCACCATGTGTTCAAACCCCACCTGTTCAGTGGTCAGTTTTCAATCGTATTATTACAGTTTTGTGAGTCAGTTCAGCCTATCTTCATAGGAAAAATTTCTGACACAGGATTACCATCATTATTCTTGGTATATTTTCCAGTGCATTTATATTCTTTCTGTAATATGGAACCTGGAACTGAGAAGTGTACTTCAAATGAGGACTCCTCTTATTTATACTTCTTGAAATGATACCAAGAATTTTATTAGCTTTATTACGAACACTTATGTACTGTTGTCTTTAAATTTCTCTTAAACTGAATTCCTAAATCTTTCATGCATTCTTTATACTTAGATTACATTATTTAGCCAAGCTTATATATAAGCAATATATATGTAGTTATTATCTTTTCTAGGATTAGAACTTTATATTTCTCTGCATTAAACTTTATCTGTCACTTCTCCAACCACAACATAATTTATCCAATTCCCCCTGTAGCTTTCTAGTGTCCTCATTGAAAACTATTTGATGGCCTGTTATAATGGTATCAGCAAACTTACTGTTGTCCCTATTTATTTCCTCATCTACATTATTTATGCATATTGTGAACAGCAAGGGTCCTGGTACTGTACGGAGCCCTGTGGCACACCTCCTGTCATGGGTCTTCATTTTGACTTCTCTCCATTTATGCAACCTCTGTTGCCTATTGGTCAGCCATTCTTTAACCCAGGAGAAAATTCTCTGCCTAAACCAAGTGCCACTATTTTCTTCATAAGTCTCTTTTTAGTCTCTTATGTGTAATTCTATTAAGAGACATCTCTGAAGCCCTTATATGCAATATCATTTTCATTATCTTGATCTGCCACTTTGAATACTTTATTAATAAAGGTTAGTAAATTCATGAAGCAAGAATACCTCTTTATAAAACTGTGCCGAGATTCATTGGTCAAATTATAGCTTTCATGGTGATTTTGAATTGCATTTGCAATTATTGGTTCCATCAACTTTCCTACAATTTAAGGTAGACTGCTTGATCTATAATTTGAAGCCAGGGACCTGTCTCTTGCTTTGTAAATGGGCATCACATTTGTTCAAATTATATGGTAAGATACTCCTTTGTATTGATCGGTTGAAAAGACTAGTTAATGGTTTGCTAAGTTCCTCCTCACATTTCTTTGTCAAAAAGATTAAAAAGGCACATAATGGATCCACTGTCACATTTGTCTCTTGACTTCACTATGCTTCCCTACATATGGTAAGCTTCTCCAGGTTTCTCTGTGACTTAAAGCCCACTGTAGGTAAAACATCATCAATAAGTGACTACTTTATACTGAATTTCTTTCTCTTACCTCTTGGTTCATGGACATGGGCATGACCTACTTTAACCAGTGGTTCCCACCCACTTGTGATGTCTTAAACTGCTGCACCTCACAGTTTTTTTTCCTCTTGCTCTAGTAACAGTCTCCTTCCTAATGATTGATAGATTGAAACAGCCTGCTGTAAAACTTGTAGCCAGCGAAGATATCCAGTCATAATTCCGTGACTGGACCAAAACACAAATAACCCTCACATAGGAGAGAGGAGCTTACGACAGTTCGGTCCAACTTGGACCATTTACAAAGTCACACTAACAGGAAGGAGAGGAGCCAGTATATATAGACAAGGTGGCAGGGACGTGGCAAGAGAGGCATAGGTAATAGTGGTAGAGGTAAGGCAGGTAGTGGAAGTAGAAGTGGTAGTGTGAAGTAGGGAGAAAGGTAGGAGGGACAAAAAAAATAGAAACAAAAGGAGGCAAAAGAGAAGGTAGGAGCCAAAGGTAGCAGGGAAGGAAGTAGTAGTAGTGGAGTCAGTCAAAGGCCATGAAGGAGGAGCACTACAGGAAAGCGAAGAGCCCACAAGGGGTAAGACCAAAACCACAAGGAGTGGAAAAAAGTGAAGGAAACACCCAAAGCAGAAGAAAGGAAACCCAAAACAAGAAAAATTAAAAAAAAGGAAAGGAGAAGAGGAGAAAAAAGAATCAGGTTAAGTCACATGTATTCTGAAGTTTGGAGCATTTGACAGTGTAATGTGAAAAGGAAGGTATCTGCAGAGACAAAGCCAGGACTAAGGTTCATACAAGGAAAGTTGTGTATAAGAGAGGATTCAACAAGACAGTGACTGTAAAAGTTAGAAGTAGGGTACAGTTTTAGCAGAAGACCAGTCAGTAGGATGACTGTGATCTGTAACATGACAGAAAAGAACATTGTTGGTGTCAGCAAGCCTAATACTTCTTTTATGCTCAGTGAGTGTCAGAAAGAGTACAGCCAGTTTCTCCAAAGTACTGAAAAGGACAAGAGGAACATGAAGTAGAGTAGATACCAGGGGCATCAATAGAGGGAGGAGAGGTACGAACAAGATTAGTGCAGTGGGTGTTAGTTTGGCAAAAAGTACAAAAGTAAGCCATTCTCTTTCTGACAGACTCAATGAGCACCAACACTGCTCTTTTCTGACATGTTAGATATATTATTATTTAATCAAGGGAAGCGCTAAACCGAGGATTTACAGCGCCTGGGTGGGGGGATTGTGAAGCATCGCTTTAATCGGGAACTGAGCACAATCCAATTTCCTAATTATCAAGAGCCTACCAACATCAAGAACCTTCCTGAGGCTGACATGTTTCAGTATCTATTGCTGTCTATGCTACTTCTACCCTACTTCTACTTTCAAAGTCGCTGTCTTGTTGCACCTCCTATACACAACTTTCCTTGATGAACCATAGTCCATGGCTTTGAACTCTTCCATTACATGTCAGGCTCCAACTCAGAACATTACCTACCTATCTTTTTTCTCTTTTTTTTCTACCTCTTCTTTCCTTCACTTTTCCACCCCCTGTGGTTTTAGTCTTACCCCTCTTAGCTCTCCTGCAGTACTCCTCTTTCATGGCCTTTGACTCCACTACTACTACTACTACTACTTCCTTCCCTGCTAACTTTAGCTCTTACCTTCTCTTTTGCCTCCTTTTTTTCTATTTTTTTTTTTTTGTCCCTCCTACCACTCTCACTACCACTTCTACTTCCACTACCATTATTATAATCAAAAAGAAGCGCTAAGCCACAAGGACTATACAGCCTTCCACTACCAGCCTTACCTCTACCACTACTTTCGTTTCTACTACCTGCCTTACCACTACCCCTCCTACCTCACTTTCCCTGTCCTGCCAGCTGGCCTATATATACTGGCTCCTCCTCTCCTTCCTGTTAGTGTGACATTGTAAATGGTCCAAGTCGGACAAATGTTGTAAGCTCCTCTCTCCTATGTGAGAGTTGTTTGTGTATAACTCCTTACCAGCACTGTGTATTGCTAAAGCACATTCTGGATGTAAGGCTTAGGTTATAAAAAGACAACTATTGTAGTGCATATTTATTCATTATAAGGTTTTATACATAGAAACACCAATGATTTTATTAATACACATGTTAACTTTTACTTGCAGATACGTTCTGTATGGTTAAATATATGTAATGGTAAGACACTGACTGCAGAAGCATCTTGAGTGGTACATTTTCCTAAAAATACATAATATATAACAAAAAATTATATCGTGTATAGTACATCCAGGACAAGTAGTCAGGTGCTGAGCAGGCAAGGTCTGAGCAGCAGGGAAGCACTCCCTTCTGGCCCATACTAGGTCTTTCTTTGTTCTTGTACATTATTATTATTATAATCAAAAAGAAGCGCTAAGCCACAAGGACTATACAGTTGTTCTTGTACAATGTGAGATATGGGTACAGAATCTCCTGGAGTGGGACAGAGCACACCTACTATTTTATGAAACTGATCCTTTTCCATTAAACAAACAAAATAGTGACATGTAGACATCATATACACCCATAGCTCACACTACTTGAACAGAAACCTAGCATGGGCCAGCAGGCCTATTAGAGTGCTTTCCTGCCTCTCGGATCTTGCATCCCTTAACACTGGACTCCTAAGACCTCTACCATTTTGCACCTGACTACTCGGCCTGGATGCACTATAAAATTTGATGTTCTGTTGTATCTTATGTATTTGATAAAGCCAATTTGTGATGAAATGTTGTACCAATAGACACACACCTGCAACCAGTGTGTTACCCTGGAAATATTTGGACTGTTCTTCCTTTATTAGCTCCTTTTCTCTAAATGCAATATGGTACAAATCTAGAAGTGAATACAATCCCAGGACCAAAATGGTTTCTAATAAATATATCATAGCATTTGCTCACGTGTCTTCTTAAACCTTTACACTTATGTCAGTCCATTCAACTTTAAGTGTTCCCCTCACTGATTGTGTATTACAGTATTATATTCACAAAAAAGTGCTAAAATACATGGAGAGTATCATTTGCCGAATGAAATTTATAACTTAGAAATGTCGGAGGCAAGTTTCAAGTTATTTTTTAAAAATTATAAGTTTAGAACTTTTTTGTGTTAATTTGCAAGTGATAAAATATTATTACAGTATCCCCAGAGAGAATGCTAAACAAAGGGTTGAACCCTTGTGGGTTTAGCACTTAGATTTGATTGTAATAATAACAAGAGGTTGGCCTTACTGTAAAGTCAATTTCTCAAAGAACATTATTATAATCAAAAAAGCACTAAACCTTCAAGGATTACACAGCACCACCAAAGTATTACAAATAAATCATATAAGATGAATTTGAAATGTTAGCACAATAAGGCATCACAATGACATTATGAGAACAAATCATCTAAAATTAGTTTGTAATGTTAGCACAATGACTGATTACAACACACATTCAGTGTCATTATTTGCAAGAAATGTTTTTACAGATAGAGAAAATTAAATCTAGATATTTTCCTATAAAGTTCCAAAAATTAATTTGTTAAGATTAATAACTTAATCTATAACAATACAAAATAACAAATTCATATTTGGCACAAGGTTTTCCAGTCATGGACAAGGTCTACAAAACATCACATGATATACCTGTGACATACTTGTGACCAGATTCAGTTCTACTCCTGCAGTCCAGCCTGTAGCCAGACTAACCTGGCAACAGCCCGAACTGCCAGGATATTGCTACCTGGACCCGAGGCCCACCACAATCAAGTGCATTATTCTTGAACAAGGCCAATTAGTCTAAGTTTCGGCCTTGCATTTGCACACATTAGTTGTTAGGTTTCAAAAGGTGAATAAATATCCCTGATTAATTTTTATGCTAAACTAGGTAGAGCAGAGGTATTTGTCACCACTGACAACCACCACTTCCCTGGTCAGTAAAAAACTAGTAAAAATATTCATTGGACCAAATTATTAAAGCGAGCACGAGTTCTGATGACTGACCTGTGACCTCACTCATGCAAGATCCACACTGTACCAAGCCATAGAATTCAAAATCTGAACCTGGCATAGTCAGTATCATTATTATTATTATTATCACACTGGCCGATTCCCACCAAGGCAGGGTGGCGCGAAAAAGAAAAACTTTCACCATCATTCACTCCATCACTGTCTTGCCAGAAGGGTGCTTTACACTACAGTTTTTAAACTGCAACATTAACACCCCTCCTTCAGAGTGCAGGCACTGTACTTCCCATCTCCAGGACTCAAGTCCGGCCTGCCGGTTTCCCTGAATCCCTTCATAAATGTTACTTTGCTCACACTCCAACAGCACGTCAAGTATTAAAAACCATTTGTCTCCATTCACTCCTATCAAACACGCTCACGCATGCCTGCTGGAAGTCCAAGCCCCTCGCACACAAAACCTCCTTTACCCCCTCCCTCCAACCTTTCCTAGGCCGACCCCTACCCCGCCTTCCTTCCACTACAGACTGATACACTCTTTGAAGTTATTCTGTTTCGCTCCATTCTCTCCACATGTCCGAACCACCTCAACAACCCTTCCTCAGCCCTCTGGACAACAGTTTTGGTAATCCCGCACCTCCTCCTAACTTCCAAACTACGAATTCTCTGCATTATATTCACACCACACATTGCTCTCAGACATGACATCTCCACTGCCTCCAGCCTTCTCCTCGCTGCAACATTCATCACCCATGCTTCACACCCATATAAGAGCGTTGGTAAAGCTATACTCTTATACATTCCCCTCTTTGCCTCCAAGGACAAAGTTCTTTGTCTCCACAGACTCCTAAGTGCACCACTCACCCTTTTCCCCTCATCAATTCTATGATTCACCTCATCTTTCATAGACCCATCCGCTGACACGTCCACTCCCAAATATCTGAATACATTCACCTCCTCCATACTCTCTCCCTCCAATCTGATATCCAATCTTTCATCACCTAATCTTTTTATCCTCATAACCTTACTCTTTCCTGTATTCACTTTAAATTTTCTTCTTTTGCACACCCTACCAAATTCATCCACCAATCTCTGCAACTTCTCTTCAGTATTATTACTATCAAAAAGAAGCACTAAACCTAGGCATAGTCAGTAACATGACTATCTTAGATGAATGAGGTCAATAGAACAATCCTTGATAATACATTTACAAAATTTACTTTTATTATATTGTGAAACCAAATATTTGTTAAATACTGTACTCCCTATAAAGGTTTGCAAGAACAGGGGTTAGAGGAGAGCCATAGCAATACCTAAGGTTTGAGAATAAAAGTTACCTTGAAAGGAAAAAAAAAAGTCACAAAAAGGCAAATAAGACTGAGAACATCAGTGGGTATAGGTGGTATTACTATGGTCTCTCTATCCAACTCTCTTGCTAACCTTTATATCAGAAAATCCTTGTTTCATGAGCATGAGTGCTTGGCTTGATAGGCATGTCAGCTTTCAGTGGATGTTGTAGTTAGTTACACCATACACTTTATGTGAGGTTAAAACATGTGTTACAGAGTAATGCACATGAAGACAATATATTAGCTATAAGCCACGTCAATACAGATCAAATTACACTCAACTGGGCACAATGTACATATAAAGTATAGAACAACACACCAGAAAGTAGATAATATGGATTCCCAAGTCACTGGAGCCTTCATTTGTGCCACATGGAAATTGTTATTACATTCAAAGGGAAGTGCTAAACCAAAGAGGACATACAAAAAGAGAGAAAAAACTCGCATACTTTTTAACCATTTCAGCATTTCACTCTAGCACTGATAAATCCAGTGATTTAAAAAGTTCTTGTCAACCTCTTTTCTACTTTATGGTTTTATTAATATATTATTATTATTACTTATACATCATGAGATCTGCAACTGGTTTTCATATACAATATATGTACAAAGTGATAATTAGATGCACTGACCCCAGAAACTTTTTTCATTGTATATACGTAGTACAGTAATTAAAAACAATAGTATTAAAAGAAGTACTGTACAGTATATAATATACCATACATCTTAAATCTATTAAAGCACAATCTTGGTTAAAGCATTTGTACAAAAGAAAACGTAGTTTCTACATATACGGCAGTGGAAGGCACAAATTTAACATGAATGTGCTCAAATTAAGCAGTTTCACGTTTGCGTGAAATCTTTCTATTCTTGGCTTCGAAGTTCTTTGGAGGTGGTTGGCTCCCAGCACCAATGTGCTTCTGGTAGAGGCTAGAAATATGGAAAATAATTATTACAAATTATCTTGATAATTCTACAATAACATTATAAAATGATGGCTAAATCGGTATTAACAGACTAATAATTAGTATAGTATTAATATGGAGATATAGTATTAATGTGGAGATGTCCTGTCTAAGGGCAATGTGTGGTGTAAATATTATGCAGAGAATTTGGAGTGTGAAAATTAGGAAAAGGTGTGGAGTTAATAAAAGTATTAGTCAGAGGGCAGAAGAGGGGTTGTTGAGGTGGTTTGGTCATTTAGAGAGAATGGATCAAAGTAGAATGACATGGAAAGCATATAAATCTATAGGGGAAGGAAGGCGAGGTAGGGGTCGTCCTCGAAAGGGTTGGAGAGAGGGGGTAAAGGAGGTTTTGTGGGCAAGGGGCTTGGACTTCCAGCAAGCGTGAGTGAGCGTGTTAGATAGGAGTGAATGGAGACGAATGGTACTTGGGACCTGACGATCTGTTGGAGTGTGAGCAGGGTAATATTTAGTGAAGGGATTCAGGGAAACCGGTTTTCTTATAGTCGGACTTGAGTCCTGGAAATGGGAAGTACAATGCCTGCACTTTAAAGGAGGGGTTTGGGATATTGGCAGTTTGGAGGGATATGTTGTGTATCTTTATACGTATATGCTTCTAAACTGTTGTATTCTGAGCACCTCTGCAAAAACAGTGATAATGTGTGAGTGTGGTGAAAGTGTTGAATGATGATGAAAGCATTTTCTTTTTGGGGATTTTCTTTCTTTTTTGGGTCACCCTGCCTCGGTGGGAGACGGCCGACTTGTTGAAAAAAAAAAATTAATATGTCATAGGATAATAATTATAACACCATTATCATTAAATTTAACAGAATCACTACATTCATGTGGCTCTAAATCCACTATTAACAAATAGCTGAGCTCTTTGTTAACAGTGGTTTTGATATCATTAAATACAAATTACTTTAGCCTTACTCCATGCAGTCATGCATAATCCACTACTACACATTGAAGATGATCACACCTCAATTACCCACATACCTTTCATCTAATTTCAACATCGCATTTCTTAGGTACTCTTTACAAACAAAAAATATTATAGAATCATAATTATAACTGACTTCATGTCATCAGTTGTGTCAGCAAATTTAGACAATAGGAGAAATATCCTCATCATTAATGCTGAGAAATGCTGGGTTCTTAGCCAAGCAAGTGGTACCCCTCCCAGAAAAGAAGCCCATACCATTAGGCACAAAATACCCAAACCCTCCCAGTGCATTAAGGTGACCCAGAATCAGAGGACTGTACAATAATTAATGCCCTTCATCACAATTTAATAGTATATTTTACTCACAACTTGTAAGATTCATTCCGCAGCAAGTCCATAACATGTGATGGGCCCAGGAGAAGCTGATCAGCTATCATAGGCAACCATGGGTTACTTTCTAAACGAAAGCAACACCGATTTCCCAACAAGTCCAACTGCCCTATAAAAAAAAAATTAGTTTAGGCCCTGAAGTAGGTCTAGTAGTAGTGAAGGGCACAACACTGGGTTGTGCATTAGCACAACCCAACTTTGTCTGGCAAGACAAACTGATAACCAATAATAGGCTTTCAGTCAAAATATGCTCATTGAATTTCCCATGCCCAAATCTGTTTTATTTGTTGTTGTTGTTAAATCCCTTATGAATGTCAATATCAGCTAGTTTAGAGTGGTATGTATTTCAAGATATGTTAAAAATCAAGGTGATGCTGGGTTTAGACCACATAAGAGTAAATTTGTACCACATGTAGTGAATTAGAAAAGGGATCATGTAAAAATTAAATTTGCACAAAGCAAAACAGCAAAATGTGAGGGTAAACCTGTACTTTAATATAAATTTATTTAAACATTATCATCTAAGCTTTATGTAAAATTATTAACTTTCTTGCACTTCTGGGAAACCATTTATGACGTCATTTACATGCCATAATTTGAAAATAAAATTATCTCCTAAAGCAAACAATTAGCTAGCAGCAAAAGCAGTGGGAAGCTTACCAATCTCAGGAGGAAGAACCTGTAATCTGTTCCCTTGAATATGTAATTCTCGTAAGCGTGTCAGTTCCCCAATTTCGCGTGGCAGAGCAATTAGATCGTTATCCCGAAGACTCAACTGAAATTTTAAAAATAATTAAGAAAGTTTAGAATAAAATAATGAGACTGATACACTGTTTACATTTTTTTTTTTTTTTTTTTCAACAAGTCGGTCGTCTCCCACCGAGGCAGGGTGACCCAAAAAAGAAAGAAAATCCCCAAAAAGAAAATACTTTCATCAATCAACACTTTCACCACACTCACACATTATCACTGCTTTTGCAGAGGTGCCCAGAATACAACAGTTTAGAAGCATATACGTATAAAGATACACAACATATCCCTCCAAACTGCCAATATCCCAAACCACTCCTTTAAAGTGCAGGCATTGTACTTCCCATTTCCAGGACTCAAGTCCGACTATATGAAAATAACCGGTTTCCCTGAATCCCTTCACTAAATATTACATGTTTACATGTATTATTATTAAAATCACGGGGGAACGCTAAACCTGTAAGGGTTATTCAGTGCCTGTGGGGGATGGGGGTGGAATGGAAGTTATTCAGGCTCAATTCAGGTCACTGGGGCAAAGATCCAATTCCCTAGATCAAGAGCCCCTCACCAGCATCAAGGAACCTCCCTTGAGGGGGTTAACTAGTATTAATTTAGCTTACCATAATTTTTACCTCACTTAACAGTAAAAAGAAGTAAGCATATGTCACAAAATGCTGTACACAAAACCCATTCTTTTAAAGCTCAAAATTAGTTATGCAAACATTGTATGTAGTGCTTAATTTCAAAGATATAGTGCAACTCATATATTAAGCATTTCACTTACAATTTGCAAGTTTCTCATGTTCTTGATATCTGGAGATAACACTTCAAAATCATTGTCCCCCATGTAAAGAGCTCTCAGAGATTCTGAAATTAAAACACAAAGATTTCTTTATATGAAAAAAAAATGTAATATGAAAAGTGCTATACAAATTAAAAGTGCTATACAAATGAAAAGTAGCGTACATTATGTGATACACTGCACAGTATGATACTTTAAATTTTTTCATCAACTTCAACTTTAATAAATACTTATTCTACAGATACTGTATGTAGGTTTTCTGTTGACAGTACTAAAGAAAACAAAGAGCATCCTATTAGTGTGACAATGTTAGGTAAAACTGTATTAAGTCATGATAAACTTAATACAGCTCTACCCTTGATAAAGCTTATTATAATAAAAGACTTTAACTTGATAAAGCTCTACATTAGGTGAAATATGCCAATAAAAGCTTGCTCTGGCCCTATGTCTTTTATCTATTTATTCCATGTTATACTGTAGGTATTTACAGTGAAGCACTAAACCTATAAGAGTCATACAGTGCCTGGAAAATTGCAGGTAATCAGGTTTGATATGAGGAAGGAGAAGGCAGCTCCAATCCCCTGACCAGCATTAAGGCACTTCCCTTGAAGGCAACTACTGGATTACTCAATGGAATACTTACCCAGCATGAAGAAGTTGCCGGGAAGTGCCTCTCCTTCTGCAATATTGTTGTACGTGATGTCCAGGACCTCCAGGACGGGGAAGGAACCAAAGCCTCGAGGAAGAGCATCCAAACGATTCATCCTTAGAATCACCATGAAAAGTATGGAAGATACAGTGCTTGTACTCTACATTAAGTCAAGGTATATGTCTCCAAAATTATTTTCTTTAGTTATAACATTTCAATGGTAGATTTTGGTTTACCTCCCCCCCCCCAAAAAAAAAAAAAAAAAAAAATTAAATATGAGATGAAAATGGGTGAAAAAATGTTAGGAGGAGTTAGGGAATTAAAATTACAGACCAGTAATACTGCACAAACACAAAACAAAGAAATGAGACATGAAAAAGTATTACAAAGTAGAAGAATGGCTAGATCATTTGAAAATATGTATTATAAATGATTAAGGATAACAAAAAGATTAGGTGATGAAAGATTGAATATCAGATTGGAGGGAGAGAGTATGGAGGAGGTGAACGTATTCAGATATTTGGGAGTGGACGTGTCAGCAGATGGGTCTATGAAAGATGAGGTGAATCATAGAATTGATGAGGGAAAAAGAGTGAGTGGTGCACTTAGGAGTCTGTGGAGACAAAGAACTTTGTCCTTGGAGGCAAAGAGGGGAATGTATGAGAGTATAGTTTTACCAACGCTCTTATATGGGTGTGAAGCGTGGGTGATGAATGTTGCAGCGAGGAGAAGGCTGGAGGCAGTGGAGATGTCATGTCTGAGGGCAATGTGTGGTGTGAATATAATGCAGAGAATTCGTAGTTTGGAAGTTAGGAGGAGGTGCGGGATTACCAAAACTGTTGTCCAGAGGGCTGAGGAAGGGTTGTTGAGGTGGTTCGGACATGTAGAGAGAATGGAGCGAAACAGAATGACTTCAAGAGTGTATCAGTCTGTAGTGGAAGGAAGGCGGGGTAGGGGTCGGCCTAGGAAGGGTTGGAGGGAGGGGGTAAAGGAGGTTTTGTGTGCGAGGGGCTTGGACTTCCAGCAGGCATGCGTGAGCGTGTTTGATAGGAGTGAATGGAGACAAATGGTTTTTAATACTTGACGTGCTGTTGGAGTGTGAGCAAAGTAACATTTATGAAGGGATTCAGGGAAACCGGCAGGCCGGACTTGAGTCCTGGAGATGGGAAGTACAGTGCCTGCACTCTGAAGGAGGGGTGTTAATGTTGCAGTTTAAAAACTGTAGTGTAAAGCACCCTTCTGGCAAGACAGTGATGGAGTGAATGATGGTGAAAGTTTTTCTTTTTCGGGCCACCCTGCCTTGGTGGGAATCGGCCGGTGTGATAATAAAAAAAAAAAAAAAAAAAAAAAAAAAAAAAAAAAAAAAAAAAAATGATTAAGAAAAACCTCTTGATGTATGAATAAAGGGCTTATGATACACTGACTTCTGGGAGAGAAATATATACAGAATACGACATTAGATGCAGCTGGCAAAGTGAGAATCTTAAGTACATACAGTAGTTAAAATCAACCAAGAAAGCACGAATTAAGAGAAGGATGGACGAGGACTCGAACTGTGGTCATGGTATGTAGTAGGCCAATGTTATACCATTTTATTGTTTACTAACTGAAAACTGTTCATTAAGACTTTAGTTGCAAGGTAAGCATGTTTGGCAGAAACAGGAGGATTACTATTATTAGATTCTTGAAGGGAGTACTAAACCTACAAGGGTCATACAGCATCTGGGAGAATGGGAAAAAAGGAGGTCTGATTCAAGGGAAAGGAGTTCAGGGCTAATTCTTCAGATCAAGACACCCTCACCAGCATCAGAAACTTCCTTTGAGGGTAAAAATAGGTGGAGAGGATTCTCCAAGTGTACATTAAATCAGAATGTTAAAAAAATCACTAAGTATTCTACTGTATGCCTATTATATTACTGTGCACACAATTTACAGGTATAATGCAATAAATATTGAGAATAAAACATTTAAAAGTACAATTTACCAAGTGGATTTTGTCTGTTACTGTAGAGGTCTGTTATATTGGGGTTTTACTGGGTATATCAAGATGAAATAGTGTCGAATACCATAACTGAGACATCTGAAGTGAATGACATGTCTCAGGCTTGTAAGCAAGATACAGTGTATATAAGAGGAAAATACAAAGGGTTAGATTATCATCATTACTGGTAGTAAAACATTCATGAGGAAGTACCAAACTCATAGGGGTTCATACAGTGCCTGAGAATGGGAGGCAATAAGATTTGATCAGAGGAAGGGGAGGGTAGATCTATTTCCCTGGATCAAGAGCCATTCACCAGCATTAAGGCACCCCCCTGAAGGAACAGTGGATTAAAGTAATGGTTAGACAATCTATTTCTGGAAAGGAAAAGTAAAAAATTAAAGGCGAAAATTTCATGAAGACACAAGAGATGTAGAAAAGGTCATACGTAATCTTTAGACAGGGCTTCCTAATATCTTACCTGTCATGCCTATCCTTAATGGGTGAGGAGAAATTGCCTGGGAGAAAATAAACAGAATCAATAACAAATATTACTACCTATGTTGTATTCATTCATATTTTCCCCTTATTAAAATTCACAAACAAATTAATACTCATGTATTACCCAACATTCAGGATGCGGAGTTTATTGAGTGAAGAAATAGAGGTCGGCAGCTCCTCAATGATGTTGTTGAAGAGATTCAGAATTTCTAAATTGATGAGATTTGCAATAGCAGGAGGCACCCTCGTCAGACGGTTGTGCGGCAGTGACAGGCGTGTGATGTACTCCATGGACACTGAAATATAACTAATGTTACAGATCACTGTTATATTATTGCACTATATTAATGGAAATAAGAGATAAACACAGGTGGCACATTCAGCGCTGCATGGTCAGGGAATGGCTAATAGATGGAATGAAGTAGAAATACCGAGGAGGTGCAAAAAATCAAATTGAGAAAGTATACCTGGAGGGTGTTTCAGGGGTCAATGCCCCCCTGGCCCAGTCCATGTAGTAATTATTAGTAATTATAAAAAAAAAAGGTTTAGACACTTTTAGACAATAATTCACTTGGAGACTAAGTTTCTCAAGTCTACTGTAGACATAGAGAGTACAGTTAAAACCCAAGAATATATATGCAGGGTGAGAACCATAGCAGAGGTACAGGTGAACCAACAATGCATGAAAGTAGTTTACTTTTGTGCTTAACAACATTTCATTACATGTAAACTACATTTTGCATACTGCAGAAAAGGAATAAAGTTGTATTGTATTAAGTTAGGACAAAGTTATCCAAGCAAGATTATGATGCAGTGTGATGGATCTATGATTTGGATTCAGGGTATTTCTATAATTATTCTAACTCTACCAGTCCTAAATATCAAGGCTGTTCCAGAGTATCAATATTGGTGGTTTGGCATAATTATGAAATCAAGAAAATCAAGGACCCAAATGGAAATAATACAAAAAAGTCAGTCTGACTTTTTTTAGTTATTCTGGTGGGTAATTTATACATATGTCACTATGACAATTGTGCTTATGTGTACCAGTACCTAAATAAACTTATACATACTAATAATAAATTTATTTCGTTTCTGCAGTATACAGGTGATGTAGTTTACATGTAATAATATATTGTAAGGCACAAAAGAAAGCCATTAGCATGATGTTAATATTTTTTATACAAAGTATTGTTTTTCAACTAATTTGGCTCATTATTATTATCACCATAAGCGCTAAACCCGTAGGGGTCATACATCACTGCTGGTATGGCATAAAATTATGTATGGTTAATATTACTTGTCCCTCAAGGGCGGTTCTTTGATGCCAGCGAGGGGCTCTTGATCCAAGGAAATGGACTTGCCCTCCCCTTCCTTGGATCGAACCTAAATTTCTCCCGTGGGTTTAGTGCTTCTTCATAAATATAAAGATTACTGGAAATAAGACACTTTGACTTTTTTGGGTCATCCTGGGTAATTTACACTATATATGATTATTATATTAATACGTACCTGTGAATAAATAAATTTACTTAATTAGAACTGAGAGTAGAGGTGCAGCTGCTGCTCTACTCTCACTATTACAGTACTCACACAGGCCAGACACCTCCTCCAGGGAGGTTATCTGTTTGTCCTGGAGGTCCAGCTCTGGGTTGCCACTATCCCGCGCTTCCTCCACCACTTTCCTCACAGATTTCGACATTTTCTCCTGAAATTTTTCCAAAATTGACCCAACCCACAGAAATAGTCCAGCACGGCTGCCAACCCTTCCTAATTCTCCCCCACCATAACTCGACGTTTAATTACCATTTATTTCATCGTATATAAAAATAAGTTTTTGAGTCTAATCCTGAAATAAATTTGAATTAATAACTAATATAGGATTTACTTCATTTGAGTTTTTCAGAAGCGGAGATCAGGGTGACCAACCGCTTATCTTTGTTATTAAACAATATTTATAGTTAGTATAAGTATTTTTTTATTTTAAGGTTTAATAAATAAGTTTTAAGTTTTACAGTGGTTTTTATATATTGTAACTAATGTAGAAATTATCCTATGATAAACCAGTAAAGTATTATGTTTTATTACTAAATTTACGCAAAAGCTTATATTGAGAAAGTTAAAAAAGTTTATTATTAATTATTATTATTATTAGCAGTAGTAGTATTAACAGCTTCGTGGAGAACTGCAACACAACACAACACACTACAAGCAACAAGTACCTTAACACATAACACACTACAAGCAACAACTAATTCAACACATAACACACTACAAGCAACAATTCAACACATAACACACTACAAGCAACAACTAATTCAACACATAACACACTACAAGCAACAATTCAACACAACACACTACAAGCAACAACTAATTCAACACATAACACACTACAAGCAACAATTCAACACATAACACACTACAAGCAACAAGTACCTTAACACATATAACACACTACAAGCAACAACTAATTCAACACATAACACACTACAAGCAACAATTCAACACATAACACACTACAAGCAACAACTAATTCAACACATAACACACTACAAGCAACAACTAATTCAACACATAACACACTACAAGCAACAATTCAACACATAACACATTACAAGCAACAATTCAACACATAACACACTACAAGCAACAAGTACCTTAACACATAACACACTACAAGCAACAACTAATTCAACACATAACACACAACAAGCAACATAATTCAACACATAACACACTACAAGCAACAATATCAACACATAACACACTACAAGCAAAAGTACTTAACACATAACACACTTACAAGCAACAACTAATTCAACACATAACACACTACAAGCAAACAATTCAACACATTACAAGCAACAATTTCAACACATAACACACTACAAGCAAACAATTCAACACATAACACACTACAAGCACATTCAACAATTACAAGCAACAATTCAACACATAACACACTACAAGCAACAATTCAACACATAACACACTACAAGCACAACTAATTCAACACATAACACACTACAAGCAACAACTAATTCAACACATAACACACTACAAGTAACAATTCAACACATAAACACTACAAGCAACAACTAATTCAACACATAACACACTACAAGCAACAATTCAACACATAACACACTACAAGCAACAATTCAACCATAACACACTACAAGCAACAATTCAACACATAACACACTACAAGCAACAACTAATTCAACACATAACACACTACAAGCAACAATTCAACACATAACACACTACAAGCAACAACTAATTCAACACATAACACACTACAAGCAACAAGTCTTAACACATAACACACTACAAGCATCAACTAATTCAACACATAACACACTACAAGCAACAATTCAACACTTAACACACTACAAGCAACAACTAATTCAACACATAACACACTACAAGCAACAATTCAACACATAACACACTACAAGCAACAACTAATTCAACACATAACACACTACAAGCAACAATTCAACACATAACACACTACAAGAACAACTAATTCAACACATAACACACTACAAGCAACAACTAATTCAACACATAACACACTACAAGCAACAATTTCAACACATAACACACTACAAGCAACAATTCAACACATAACACATTACAAGCAACAAATTCAACACATAGCACACTACAAGCAACAATTCAACACATAACACACTACAAGCAACAAGTACCTTAACACATAACACACTACAAGCAACAACTAATTCAACACATAACACACTACAAGCAACAATTCAACACATAACACATTACAAGCAACAATTCAACACATAACACACTACAAGCAACAAGTACCTTAACACATAACACACTACAAGCAACAACTAATTCAACACATAACACACTACAAGCAACAATTCAACACATAACACACTACAAGCAACAACTAATTCAACACATAACACACTACAAGCAAAAAACTAATTAACACATAACACACTACAAGCAACAATTCAACACATAACACATTACAAGCAACAATTCAACACATAACACACTACAAGCAACAACCTAACACATAACACACTACAAGCAACAACTAATTCAACACATAACACACTACAAGCAACAATTCAACACATAACACACTACAAGCAACAACTAATTCAACACATAACACACTACAAGCAACAATTCAACACATAACACACTACAAGCAACAAGTACTTCAACACATAACACACTACAAGCAACAACTATTCAACACATAACACACTACAAGCAACAAATTCAACACATAACACACTACAAGCAACAACTAATTCAACACATAACACACTACAAGCAACAATTCAACACATAACACACTACAAGAACAACTAATTCAACACATAACACACTACAAGCAACAATTCAACACATAACACACTACAAGGAACAACTAATTCAACACATAACACACTACAAGCAACAATTCAACACATAACACACTACAAGCAACAAGTAACTCAACACATAACACACTACAAGCAACAAATAATCAACACATAACACAATACAAGGGAAACAAATATCAACACATAACACATACAAGCAACAACTCAACACATAACACACTACAAGCAACAAATAACTCAACCATAACACACTACAAGCAACAAATAACTCAACACATAACACAATACAAGCAACAACTCAACACATAACACACTACAAGCAACAAATAACTCAAACACATATCACACTATAAGCAGTAAATAACTCAACACATAACATTCTACAAGTAACTCTGAAAATACCAAAGGTTTTAAGTCTACCAACACCACGAATAACACTGTAAAACAAGATCTGTTAACTTATTTCAATTAATTAATATTATAATCAAAAAGAAGAGCTAAGCCACAAGGGCTATACAGCATTATTTCAATTAAATATCCAGTAATTGACTATAAATACTCATGCATTATTCTCATCTCTGTAATTCAATCACCCCTTATAGGCATCTCATTGATCTGATTATTATAATCAAAAAGAAGAGCTAAACCACAAGGGTTATACAGCACAGCAGGGCAGGGAAGGACGCAGGGGTTATGGGTAGCGAGAGGGAGAGGGATGATTATTATGTTATGATTGCAGTGGGGCACATTGATCTGATATATTATTAATTAATTATAATCATGGGGAGCGCTAAACCAGTTTGATCTGATATAAATTATCTGTAAATGTATAAAATTATATGTATTGAGTAGTATGTGAGCATTATGCTTTGCATAATTTGTGGCTTCGTTTTTTTAATATGATGTTGTATCAAATTGTATTTGTATTATAATTGTATTAAAACTGTATTATTATGGGGGAGCGTTAAACCCATGGGGATTATACAGTGCCTGTGGGGAGGGGGATGGAAAGCATCCAGGCTTAATTCAGGAAATTGGAGCAATTCGTTCCCTACATCAATTATTATAATCATAACCAAGCACTGAACCTGTAAGGATCATACAACGCTGCTCCTTGGATCAAGAACCCCCTCACCAGCATCAAAGAACCTCCCTTGAGTGTCCTGCAGCTCGACTGCTAGCACACTCGGCTCACACACTGACGTCCAGGGGTCGATTCCTGGTAGGGGTGGAAACAATAGGATGTGTTTCCTTAAGACAACTGCTGTTCAGTGTTCACCTATCAGTAAAATGGGTACCTGAGTGTTAGTTGACTGGTGTGGGTCGCATCCTGGGACAAAATTGATTTAATTTGCCCGAAATGCTCTGTATAACAAAAGATTTTCTGTATAGTAGTATGTCTTTGATGTCAGCTAGGCCTGTATACCTTGTACATGTTTTTTTTTTTTTCAACAAGTCGGCCGTCTCCCACCTAGGCAGGGTGACCCAAAAAAAGAAAGAAAATCCCCAAAAATTATTATTATTATTATTATAATCAAAAAGAAGCGCTAAGCCACAAGGGCTATACAGCGCTGCAAATCCCCAAAAAGAAAATACTTTCATCATAATTCAACACTTTCACCTCACTCACACATAATCACTGTTTTTGCAGAGGTGCTCAGAACTCACAGTTTAGAAGCATATACAATGTACGTATAAAGATACACAACATATCCCTCCAAACTGCTAATATCATGTACTTGTAGAAATAAAGATTATTATTATTATTATTATCAGAACTAACTAAATGAAACGTTAACCTAACTATAGTAACAATGTAATTTGTTCTAAAATTTTATATCTTTTTCTTTTAACTCACAGGCTGTCTCCCACCGAAGTAAGGTGATCTGAAAGAGAAGAAACACTTTCACCATCACTCACTATCAGTCTTGCCACAGGTGCACCAACATTACATTTCAGATGCCCTTCCAAACTGTAGTATCACCAACCCTCACTCAGAGTACAGGTACTGCCCTTCTCACTCCAGGACTCACGTCCAGCTAATTGATTTCCCTGAATCCCTTCATAAATGTTAACTCTACGTCCAGTTCCAATGTACAATTGTAACCACCCACCAAGCTAGAGTAACAAAAAATAAAAATGCTCTCCATCATTCGTTCAATAGCTGCCCTCCTAGAAAAGCACATACATCACAATTCAAATAAGAGCATTTATGTAACAAAAATGTGCAGGATAAGAATATAACTAATATTTTATTGTATATTTTATTGCATAGCACACCATATTATTAATCAATTGGTGCAACTGTAATAGCGTAAACTTGATCTTGACTAGAAAATATTCAAGCAAATGTAAGGACATTTAATAATGAAAAGTAATAAAATATTGTAGCATTGTAACAAAGTAATAAAATATTGTAGCACTGTAACAAAGTAATAAAATATTGTAGCATTGTTACAGAGTAATAAAATATATCCATCTACCATGCAGTGCAATGAATAGTTCAGCTGCATCTAGGATGATCATTTATATTTATAATTTGACAAGGAAAACCTCATTCCCTGGAGGCATGACAAGGTAAACCTCATGGCTTGGAGGCATGACAAGGTAAACCTCATGGCTTGGAGGCATGACAAGGTAAACCTCAATGCTTGGAGGCATGACAAGGTAAACCTCAATGCTTGGAGGCATGACAAGGTAAACCTCAATGCTTGGAGGCATGACAAGGTAAACCTCAATGCTTGGAGGCATGATAAGGTAAACCTCAATGCTTGGAGGCATGACAAGGTAAACCTCAATGCTTGGAGGCATGACAAGGTAAACCTCATTGCATAGAGTACCAAGATAATATCTTTGCTTAATATTCAATAGAAAACTTGAGCACAATGGTGTTAATTTCAGCCTAACATACATACGGATGCAGAACTTACAGCTGAAGTAAATAAACTACATAAATTTAACTTAATGTGAGAAAACTAATGTAGTGGAACTTCAATGAACATTTTTATTTCTAATCCTGATAAACTGTCCTTCACTCAGTATAATTATTACAGTATTCACATGCATATAAAATACACTGCATATATAAATGTTTTGACAATTCCACTGAAGATCACAAAACCTAGAAATTAAATTATCGTATATCAAAAGCAGTGAAATCGTGGTGCTAAAGTTGATTTCTGATCCAATAGCTTGAGATGTAGTGAAAATATATTAATTGGGTTAGTCCCAACATACAGGTAAAATAAATATTCTGTCATGCTCACAACTCTGCTGTTAAAGCTCCCTTGGAACTTGGATCAAACAGTTGGTAACTCAAGAAGTCTACAAAAATACAGACAACTGTACAAAAGGGCTCCACATGGGATTATTCCTTTTATTATGAGTAAGTAAGCAAGTTTATTCAGGTATACATAAATAAAGTTATATAGATTATCATACATAGCAGCATATGTGTATAGAACCTAGAATAACCGCAATAAAAGTCAGACAAAGTGACTTATTTTCGTTGGGATCCTTGAATGTAATAATAATTTACAAAAGTGTTTGTCAAAGAAGAACTTGTGGTCTACAGTGCCTAAGTGGCTCAGATTTTTCACATTAACTGTGCCTTTTTCAACCTCCCATTTTCTAGTGATGTCCTCATTAACTTGCCACACCTCTTTTACCTCAGCTATGTAGCACTTAATGATCTTTACAACACTGAGGTGCTACTTTAATCAGTTATTACTGGAATATTCAAATTCAGGCTTCCCTACAATGTCTGATTATCTGGGAAAACTGCCTCCAACATGCTAACTGCCCTCTAATTTTCTTCTCTCTCTACCATCTGTTTCACTTCTGCTGTGTGGCGGTGTAATGCCCATGAAGGTTCAGTGCTTTCCATGAATATAAATAAAAGTAATGCTACACATGTTGGAGACAGTGGAATGACTGTTGGACTAAACAACTTTTAAGGCTGAGGGACTGATCACCTAAAACTACTAGTGTATGCATCCTAAAAAAAAATCTCTTTCATGTTTTTACACCACAAAACTTTTATGATTAAGATGATTAATCAGGATTATTACATAAGTTGGACATTACTTTTACCACACTGGCATTTTCCACCAAAAGAACACATTCACTGTCATTTATTTAATAGTTGACTTGCTGGAAGTACACAGAGACTACATTTCAAATAACTCAGCAGATATCCCCACCCATCCTTCCGAGGCAAACATTGTACTTCCCATCACCAAAACTCATTCTTATAATGCAAAGCTTTTGAATGTTTTTCATTTTATATACAGTACTCACATCCATCTTATTTCTTAGAAAAAGATTAAATGGATATACTGCATCTTTTATACATTTAAGGGTGCAATCAACATGTAATTTTGGGGGAAAAACTCTACTGTAAAGAACTGCAATTTTTTTTAAATATTACTTCATTTTAAAAACAAGTAAACAAATATTACAATTAAACAGCTTTAATACTTGTAATTTATTGTATCTCTTACTATTTACACATGAGCTACATATTCCTAGCCATCAATAAAATATTCATTAATACATTCTAAATATGCATATAACTATAATGTAAAATATATTCTTTATTTACATAACACATCCCCTCTCTTACAGAGAGAGTAGGCTAGCACACACACACACACACACACACACACACACACACACACACACACACACACACACACACACACACACACACTTTTAAATACAATAAAATTTATATGATTGTTTTAAAATCTACACTAGCAACATATATATTGGTACTCAGTGAAATGTTTATACAGTGAGACCTCACATAACATGGCAGTTATGTTCCTGAAAATGGCACTTTATGTAAATTCACACTATATAATATGATATATGTGTGAAAATAGGGTAAGCTATGCACACCTCCAAGAAAGCCGTTCAAAATATTTTCGAGTGCTTATTTCATCAAAATGATATAGTTCTTGATACCTTACATTTAGATGTGGTTGTTTGTTAACCTAACACCACTATCTATCATCACCTATCACCACTACTACCACCTAACACCATCTATCACCCCCTACCACCATTACTTACAGCCAGTAATATTTTTGTATTGTAGCTGCTTACTAGCATTATCACCACTTAACATCATTTATCACTAACTAACACCACTTTTCACCACCACTTATGGCAGTAATATTTTGCATTGTAGCTGCTACCACATCCACAATCTACCAGCCCCATCATCTATGACTACTCACTAGCATTATCACCATTTATCACCAACTAGCACCCCCCTTTTGCCATCACATATGGCAGTAATGCAGTGGACCCCCGCTTAACGATCACCTCCCAGTGCGACCAATTATGTAAGTGCATTTATGTAAGTGCGTTTGTACGTGTATGTTTGGGGGTCTGAAATGGACTAATCTACTTCACAATATTCCTTATGGGAATAAATTCAGTCAGTACTGGCACCTGAACATACTTCTGGAATGAAAAAATATCGTTAACCGGGGGTCCACTGTATTTCATATTGTATGTACAAGCACCTCCACAACCTACCAGCCCCATCACCTATGACCATCTACTGACACTAATATCCAAAGATATGAAAGGATGATGAAATTATCCAAAATAATGAGCAACTAAACAAGAGACAGAATGGTATGAGATGCATCCACAAACTGACCACATGAGTGGGTCGTGGAAATAAACAGAGGAAGAGCCTTGAAACGAATGCTCCGAGTGGAAACCAATGCAATTTTTTTTTTTTTTTCCAAATTTAAGGCTGGAGCCACGTTCCAATAATTTTGTATTATAAATATGATTAGAATCCTAATAAAAACGTGCTACCTAAATCCGTGTTATGAGAGGCCTATCTGTATATAAATTTTCATTATAAAAAGAAAAAATATACTTTATATTTACATAATTTGGCCCCCTTCAGTTACATTGGGGTAAGGAAAATAGTCACTGGGTCATGCAACACTGTTGCTTTAGTTCACACCACCAGGAAGTGTTAAGTTAGGTTACTGGCCAAGTTTTTATCTTAGTAAGTGATTAACCCATTCTCAGGCTGAGAGAGTCACCCTCAATTTGATGGACTTTAAAAAATAGAAAACAAAATTTGAAGGGTCATATGATAAGGAAACAATGGACAAACTCCACTGGTTACAGAATTGTCTATTATCGTTACAATCACATTAGAAGAATCTCATCTCTATCCACCACAATCATCATTACTGGCCACCCACTCTCCCCTACTAGTCTGTTAAATTAAGAGTGTACAACACTTTAAACCAAGATATCCAAAGGAAAAATAAGCACCATGCCAACCCCTGAATAAACCAATGTTCCATGCATTTAATGCCATAAACATGTAATCACGGAGTAAAAAACTAGGCCCACACAAACTTCTGACTTTGTTGAATGAGCCACTGCCATTAACTGATGATTAAATCTGGTGTTGATTCCAAAGATGCACTACAGTACTATGATACTTAATTGTGTAAGCTTGTTTAATACCCGGCCTCAACTTAGCCTGAGGCAGATTTAATAGCAAAATAAGTTTTATTGCAACTTATTTTTTCCTGGTGATTTGACCTCCTATATATCCAGACACACATGTATGTATGTATGTACATATTTATTTATGTACATATGTATGGAAGTGGGGATTTTCTTTCTTTTTGGGTCACCCTGCCTTGGTGGGAGATGGCCAACTTATTAAAGAAAAAGAAAATGTATGGAAGTGCATATGTAGTTTTCAACAAGAATCTTACTAGTCATGAACTCATGACAAAAAATATCACATGAATTATTTAAAATTCTATGTCTTTGAGGTACTTGCAAGGTCCTGAAGGTTGATTACAGAATAACTCGTATTAGGTAATCTGATACCACTAAATATTCCTCAATGGTGACTGACACTATGGGAGACAGAGGACTGACATGAGATGCAGTGTTGATCTTTATACATATCAGCAAACACTAGGACATATTTATTAGAAAACGTTTCGGTCCTAGGACAAATTTATTAGAAATGTTTCAGTCCCAGGACTGAAATGTTTTCTAATAAATATGTCCTAGCGTTTGCTCACGTGTCTTTTTAAACCAATTTGTTGGTATCAATTACCAAGGTTTATACCAACCTTTATACAGTTCACAATTCATTAAAAATGTAAATGAACACTAAGGGCTTTTACACAAGTATTATTTTACCAATGACAGCAAATACACGAAACCTGTTAGCAGCTATATTTCAGTTTCGAAGAGCGAGCTTACCTGATAAATTATTACTGGTGTTCAAGAATACAACTTAATGCAATGATTTATATTATAAATAGAAATTAATGAAAATGCTTTTGATATATCCTGACTATTACTGCTGGAATGAATAGGAGTGTAAGGTAAATTTACTCAATATAAGTTCCGTAAGCCAATTAAATTATTATAAATAGTGTAGTAAAACCTTGACTTAATGTACTAATGAGAGGAACAAGTGGCCAGTAATAGTGCCTGTGGTGTTATAAATGGCATTATTTTCCAGTGATCACAACCTTAACGGACAATTCTGTAACCAATGGACTTCATCCATTGCTTCCAAATTAATTGACCTAGTGAATTTTTTCCAAAATTTAGAAAGTCTTTTAAATCAAGGTCCGTTTAATCAAGGATTTGCTGCTAATTTTCTAATAAATACATAAAAATACTTACTAAAATCCCCAAGAATGTAAATGAAATTTGCAGGATTTACCCCATACCTGATTTAATTATTTAATTTTCTTTCTTTTTTGGGTCACCCTGCCTCGGTGGGAGACGGCCGACTTGTTGAAAAAAAAAAAAAAATTATTTACTGTATACAGTCTAATGAATTATAAATCCAGAAAATAAAATGATGAACTGAGGTAGACCGGCTGTCTCTCGCATGGCTGCACTCAGACTTTACACTTTAATACTGACATTATGGCAATGTTTTGAATAAGATTTTATGGCTCTTAATTGAACACAAAAGATGTTCAAAACTTGCTATGAGCCTTTATCAAGGACTGTCATTCATTACAAAGTCAGGTTCTCTTTGCCATATCTCAGGCAACTACAATTTTGATTTAAGATAAGGTTTCCTGTTTCTGTATAGCCCGTAGTCAAGGGAGCTCTGCCAAGTATCCAAGAACAGATCACACTTACTCTGAAGTTCTTTTCCTCCTGCGAAATGGAATTCAACCTGAGCAGAGGGTACATTATGCAACCTGCAAGTAGCTCTCCCTCCCTGCTAACTCAAATTAATAAAATTCATTAGTTTACTTTATTGGCACACTGAAACAATACTTAGAAAAAAAGCATAAGGAAGCTAAGGCAGATGCACGTCTACACACTAAATCCTCCACCACAATCAAGGCTTGCACAGGTTTGTGTAAGTAGCAAGAAGGAATGTAGAATTAGACAGAAGTGTAACCCTCATCCCAGCCAAGCATGGCTTTCCCTTTACCGTGGAGACCATAAACCATATTATCTTGCTGGATCTCAAGATAAGGCACATACGTGTTGATAGTGGTACCCTGATCACCTGTGAATGAATGTTACAGAAATATATAGGATGAGAAAGCTGACCAAAAAAGTCAATAATACAGTAAAACCCTGGTAATACATACAGTGTTTGTAGAATGCATAAATTGATAATACACACAAATATATTGGACGCTATATTTTTGGAATACGCCATTATGTGAAATATATTTCTTTTAATTAAAATGAATGCCAAAGAGTAAAAGAGCAGTGAAAACTTTAAATAAAGTCTGGAAGAGTATTTGGCAAAAAATGACAATAGAAGACATTTAGTTGGCTTCTGTTTAGAAAGGTTTGAAAACAGGAAATACTGTATGATTAAGAAATTATTTAAGGTACAGTTTCTACTAAATGCTAGTAAATGAAAGATTGTAGGGTAAGCTTTTGCATGCACATTACATAATTTTTTGAGTGACTGAGATGTCCAGTCATTACTCTGTAGCTCCTAAAATAATATGAGTAACAATGAATAAATAGGTGGAAGTGAAAGAGTTTAAAAAAAATGGTTGAAGGTGAGTTGAATAAACAAATGTTGCATATAAACTTGACTGCTGTGAGATTAAGTAATATCATCATATTTATGGGAAGTGCTAAACCTATAACAGTACTTGTTTTTCACCTCTTCACTGAAGAGGTGAAAAAATAAATAGAAAGAGGCAGTTTTCAAAAGAAGGGCAATGGCAGAAAAATAAAAAAAGTGATCACAGTTCAGTGAGAAAGCATCAAGTATGTCGGCAAATTGTAGTGCAGATTAAAGAGTATAGTGTTAGTACGGGCTGTCAGCAAAGGCTTGTGGTTATACAGTGCCAAGTGCGGGAGGGAAGAGTAATGACTGGTGGAATGTTAACGATGGAAATGCTATTAGAGAGAAAATGTTGGAATGAAAGGTTTTAGGAATATAAAGTAATTCACGTTAGACAATCTGCATGGAAAAGGTTAAAAGTGGTAAAAAAAAAAAATAATGTTTGAAGAAAGATCAACAAAGTAACACAACCAAGGGAGCAAATACATCTTATTTGAAGATAAGATAAGATTTTGTTTGGATTTTTAACAAGGAGGGTTAGCCAACCAAGATAACCTGATAAAATCAGTATTATCATCTGGGACTGTCTGTCTTATTTCCATTGAGGGTTCTTTAATCTTGTCCCCCAGAATGTAACCCACCCACAACAGTCAACTAACACCCAGGTACCTACTTACTGCTAGATGAACAGGTGCAACAAGTGTAAAGAAGCATGCTCAATGTTTCCACCCATGCTGGGTGCACTATTAACCAAGCCACAGGACACAATGCCATAACATACAGTAAGACAGAAAGTACAGTAACAAACTGAATAAGAAGGTACAGCAGGAGTACTAGAGTTAGGGAAAGAATATTTTAAGGGTTTATTGTTAAATATACACTCCAGTCTACTTGAATTTGTAGAAAGCTAGAAATGAATGAGGGAAGCAAAACAACAGATGAATTCTGCAAAGATTAACAGGTGTTGATGAAAATGAGATTTTGAAAACAGATGGGAATAATGTGTTAGTATAGTGTCAAGATTGTCAGAAAGCCTGACTGGATTCCCACCAACTATTAAATAAAAGGAGTTATCCAAAGACTGTGAAAACCACTATTATTATTATGTTAATTAGAATTAAAAATATGGTATCTGTTATATATAAGGTCCAAGGAACACAACTACATGTACAGTATATTAACCAGGGTTTTAACTGAATACAAGTGTTTAGTTCATTAGATCACATGTCCATGCAATTTACCTAAATTATTCAGTATTTTATAGTTATACCTAAGTCACCAAGATGAATGTTAAGCTACCATAAGTAATAACAGTTTACTGTCATTTATGACCTGATCTTAATACATATACCATCACCAACAAAAAAATTAATGTGCCTCTTCCCAAACTTTAACACATGCTCATGCAGGTCAAAAAAATTTAATACCTTAATAAATTGGTCCGAACAGTAACAAACAGCCTTTTTTTTTAACATGCTCGATGTCTCCCAATGAGGCAGGGTGACCCAAAAAAAGAAAAACACTGTCACCATCATTCACACATAACCACTGTCTTTGAAGACACATAGATATAACAGTTCAGATGTCAAAGCATATTATATTACTGTATAATACCACAATGTATATACAGTACTTGGTGGGAATCGGCCAGTGTGATAATAAAAAAAAAAAAAAAAAAATCTTATATTGAGGGACTGTGGCAAATGTTTTAAATTAAATCTACAATAAGGTAGCTACATGCTATGACTAAAATGATCTTTCATTAGTATTACTTTTTTATAAGTATGAGCAAACAAACATTTATGAAGGGATTCGTGTAAAAAGATTAGCTGGACTCAAGTCATAGAAGAGGAAAGTACAGTTTCCTGCACTTTCAAGGAAGAGTGAGAATGTTGCAATTTAGATGGTCACTTGAAACGTGACATCTGCAAAACTCTAGCAATGACTGCTATTGAATGTGTTTCCAGTTTGTCAGATCACCCCTACCTCAGTGGGAGACAGCCAGGGTGTTAAAAACTTTCCAATGCATGTCAATTTTTTTTTTTTTTTTACATTTATTACACGTTATTCATATACAGTACGTATATGAATTTTTTATGCAAAATTCCAGTGTTCAATTTAAATTTTATCATGAATATTATTACTAGCTTAAGTTTGCTCAAAATACTGTGTATAATTATCTATGCTGTTGTATTCTGGGCACCTCTGCAAAAACAGTGATTATGTGTGAGTGAGGTGAAAGTGTTGAATGATGATGAAAGTATTTTCTTTTGGGGATTTTCTTTCTTTTTGGGTCACCCTGCCTCGGTGGGAGACAACCGACTTGTTAAAAAAAAAATTATCGGCATTTACATGTAAGGCTAATGGTCTTGGAAAATAAAAATAAAAAAAAAAAAATACACTGCTATGAAAGTAGAAGGTATAATGATCCTGACGATATGGATGACAAGACACAAGTGCATACACTCAGGACATTTAGGTCCTGGGACCTTGGTCACTTGTTTGGAGAGACCAAGGTCACAGGACTAAAATGTATTCAATAAAGATGTTCTAAGTGTCTTTTCATGCATAGTGTCAGTATCCTTCATCCATACATTGCTATGTTTATGCTAACTAAATAAATAACAGCCAGGTTGTCTAATAATATAACAATAATTGTTGGAGATAAGGTTCCAGAATCACAACTACTTTGTGAATGAACATTTTAGAGATTAGAGGTGATGGTCTGATAAACCTTGTGATCGAGGAACACAAATAAACTGTCTTTGTCTAAGGGAAAGAAGACAATATCTATAAAAGATTAAAGTGATTGGAAGTCCTTGCTCTCTGCCACAAGCATCTACATTTAAAATGATATACTAATCCTTGAATAAAAATTTTAATACAAATCTCATTAGCCACATTAATTACTCTTAATACATTACCTGGTATTATAGTATACTTACCAATATGCTTTGCAATAAAATTTAACATAAGCCTGTTGTTGATATCCATAGCAGTCTGGGGATCAAGAGGGGAAGACGCCCCAACAAACACTCGACCTATGTGTCCAACCAGGAATGGCGTATCACACTGATTTTGGTGTACAGTGCCTCTGATAGCACAATACATTAGTTAATTAAATTTACTATTTTATAAATGTCTGTGCTACAAGATTTCCTATTTTTCTGGTACACGTGAATTTCACGAATAAAATTAAAAAATGTACTCTAACATGCTTAATGAGGAAATATTTAATATTCACTTCACTGTTGTATTTTAGAATAAATTTAAGCTATGCGAGTAACAAACACACTAAAGGAACTTACTTGATTGTAATAAATTCAGTTGTTGTTTTATTAAGTTTTCCCATGGCCTGAAGATTTGCAATGGACTGAAATGCCTCAGTTGATATACACATTAAAGGCTGAGTGACATTGGGGCCAATATTATCAACTTCATCCTTTATAGGGAACATCCAGGGATCAAGAGCCACGCCCACTCTGAAGAAATATAAACAACAGTTACAACTTCTACTTACATCAAACAGGATCACAGTCAAACTATGGTAAATATATATGAATGTTACGCAGAGCAGAAGAGGCATTCTTGAGATGGTTTAATCATGTAGAAAGATTGGAGTAAGATAGTATATTTAATTAAAGGGGCATATAAAACAGGTGTCCTGTGGTTCAATTGGCAATGCACTCAACCCACATGCTGAGTGTCCATGGTTCAATCCCTGGCATAGGTGGAAACTTTGGGTATATTTCCTTAAACTTGCTGTCCCTGTTCACCTAGCAATAAATAGGTGCCTCCGTGTTAGCTGACTGTTGTGGGTTGCAACCAGGGACACAAGATTAAAGGACCCCAATAGAAATAAAACAAGACAGTCCCTGATGACACATTGACTTTATTGGGTTATCTTGGGTGGCTTACCCTCTTGGTTAAAAATCCAAACAAAATCTTATCTTAGCAAGTCACGACTTGATAAAACCACACAGTAAAGCACTGTCCCAATAAAAGTTTTTCTACATGTAATATTTTGTGAAAAGATTCAGGGAAACCGGTTTGCTGGACTTGAGTCCAGGAGGTGAGCGGTACAGTGCCTTCAGTCTAAAAGAGAAGTTTGGGATATTTACTGTTTAGAGAGACATCTAAACTGTCATACCTGTACACCTCTGGAAAGACAGTGATAATGTGAATGATGGTGAAAGTGTTTCTTTTTCAAGTCACCTTGCCTTGGTGGGAGGCGGCCAATATGTTAAAAAAAAAAACTTTTTTTTCATCACAATATGCCATTTGGATAAGGAAATATTACTAACTTTGCAATTACAGTATAGCCTCTCCTCACTTAACGACGGAGTTCCGTTCCTAAGACCACGTCATTAAACAAATTTGTCGCTAAATGAAGAGCATACTATAATGGTAGTGGGTTTGTGTCATCCATCTTTGATATTGTTTTAATGTCACCTCTGCACCATTTATAACATTTCTGGTATATTTTTAAATGTTTTTATGTTAGTATACTATACACTGAAATAAAAAGAATAGAGGAAATCAGCTCTAATATACATTATTTAGGTATAAATACTGGTCAGAGAGCCCATCGTAAGTGTGAGGCATCGGTAAATGAATATGTTGCTAAATGAGGAGAGGTTGTATTATTTCCACAACAAATAAAATTTTCAGTATTACATATATAAACCCAAGGCAACATTTGCATAACCATAAACATTTTCTGCTTACTTGAATCTCTTGTCTTTAGCAAGTGTGGAGATGGCAGTCACACCTCCAAATGAATGACCAGTCATAATTGGATAAGTCAGGTCAAGATGACCATGTAGCTGCTGCAGGTCAAAATCCGAAGACAATTCATTTTTCACTTTTCCTTCATTAAGCATTTCCAGAACGTTTAATGCTCGAATACTCTCTTCTACTCGTATTTTGATCTGAAATAAGAAAGAATAATTTAAGAATAAACCCTCTGTATGCATACTTCAAAAATATATGCACTTCTCAATGTATATACCCTTATCAATTAGGCAGAATTCAGTATTAGAGATACACAGCATAGAATCTACTATTACTGCTACCATTTGTCAACATACAGCCAGTGTTCTACACAGGCAGAAATTGTCCGAGATGAATTTTCTGAAGAAGAAGAATCGAGCACATGTGACAGATTATGAGTCTAGCTACAATTTATTGGAATTCATATAAAGTTTGGAAACGCCGGTTGTATGCTACACAGTTTAAGAGACTGTTCCTTATGAGGTATTGTTTCACTGCTCTTGCTATTTTATTTAAATAATAACAAAATCAGATGTTTATTAAATAACAAAAAAAGGCACAATACCGTGACTGGAACGAAACACAAATAACCTGCACATAGAAGAGAGGAACTTACGATGACGTTTTGGTCCAACTTTGTAAATGGTCCAAGTCGGACTGAAACGTCGTCATAAGCTCCTCTCTTCTATGTGTGGGTTATTTGTGTTTCAAATGTTTATTTTTTTTTCAGCGAGTTGGCTGTCTCCCACTGAGGTAGGGTGACCCAAAAAGAAAACACTTTCATCATCATTCAATACTTTCACCTCAATCACACATAATCACTGTCTTAGCAGAGGCACTCAGATACAACAGATTAGAAGTCCCTCCAAACTGTCAATATCCCAGACCCCTCCTTTAAAGTACAGGTCTCCCTCAACATTCGCGAGGGTTAGGGGATCAAGAGCCTCGCGAATGTTGAAAAACCGTGAATGTTTGGTGCCCCAATATATTGTAGGGAAATATAATACAATACTGCTTCCTTAACTTGTTGAACCGTGAACAACCATAAAATACATGAAAATGTCATAAACTGTACTAAAAATATACATGTTATGCTTTAATAACGTGTATGTTATTAAATACCACAGACTCCGCCATTGCCTCCACCACTTCCTCAACCACTGCGAGTCCCTACTACCCTCCCACCAACCCCCGCAACTGGCAGCCAGCCCTCCCACCACTCAGTGTGGTGAGTGTTTTGTTTGTTCATTATTTGCTATTAAACTACAGTATAAATAATGCAAACCCATTCATGACTGCATATTGGAATGGCTATTCGGAGAGGTATTGGACGGTGACATCATGTGTTTACTCTTGAACACAGCAAAGAATCAAGCATTTCTGCTACTGCTAATAATAACAATAGTAATAATAATAATAATAATAATAATAATAATAATAATAATAATAATAATAATAATAATAATAATAATAATAATACGATATAATTGAAGAAGGAAATTGTACAAAAATACGAGGGAGTGGTTGACACATCGTCAGTGTGGCTTTGTTTATGTTGGAGTGAGCATTAGTCTCCCTGCTCTTCCAAACATTTCACAATAATTCAGCAGTTGAGGCAGTGGTATTTAATAACATATATGTTATAAATAATAATAGTACATATTATTAATAACATGTATTATTATTATTAATAACATGTATGTTATTAAATACCACTGCCTCAACCGCTGCCTCAACCACTGCCTCAATCGCTGCCTCAACAGTTGCCTCAACAGCTGCCTCAATCGCTGCCTCAACAGCTGCCTCACCCACTGCCTCAATCGCTGCCTCAACCACTGCCTCAACCACTGCCTCGATTGCTTCAACAGCTGCTTCAACAGCTGCCTCACCCACTGCCTCAATCGCTGCCTCAACCACTGCCTCAATCGCTGCCTCAACAGCTGCCTCACCCACTGCCTCAATCGCTGCCTCAACCACTGCCTCAACCACTGCCTCGATTGCTTCAACAGCTGCTTCAACAGCTGCCTCACCCACTGCTTCAATCGCTGCCTCAACCACTGCCTCAATCGCTGCCTCAACAGCTGCCTCAACCACTGCCTCAATCGCTGCCTCAACAGCTGCCTCACCCACTGCCTCAAATCGCTGCCTCAACAGCTGCCTCACCCACTGCCTCAATCGCTGCCTCAACAGCTGTCTCACCCACTGCCTCAATCGCTGCCACAACAGCTGCCTCACCCACTGCCTCAATCGCTGCCTCAACACCTGCCTCAACCACTGCCTCAATCGCTGCCTCAACACCAGCCTCACCCACTGCCTCAATCGCTGCCTCAACAGCTGCCTCAACAGCTGCCTCACCCACTGCCTCAATCGCTGCCTCAACAGCTGCCTCAACCACTGCCTCAATCGCTGCCTCAACAGCAGCCTCACCCACTGCCTCAATCGCTGCCTCAACCACTGCCTCAATCGCTGCCTCAACAGCTGCCTCAACCACTGCCTCAATCGCTGCCTCAACAGCTGCCTCAACCACTGCCTCAATCGCTGCCTCAACAGCTGCCTCACCCACTGCCTCAATCGCTGCCTCAACAGCTGCCTCACCCACTGCCTCAATCGCTGCCTCAACAGCTGCCTCACCCACTGCCTCAATCGCTGCCTCAACAGCTGTCTCACCCACTGCCTCAATCGCTGCCTCAACAGCTGCCTCAATCGCTGCCTCAACAGCTGCCTCACCCACTGCCTCAATCAGTGCCTCAACAGCTGCCTCACCCACTGCCTCAATCGCTGCCTCAACAACTGCCTCAACTACTGCCTCAATTGCTGCCTCAACAGCAGCCTCACCCACTGCCTCAATCGCTGCCTCAATCGCTGCCTCAACAGCTGCCTCAACCACTGCCTCAATCGCTGCCTCAACAGCTGCCTCAACCACTGCCTCAATCGCTGCTTCAACAGCTGCCTCACCCACTGCCTCAATCGCTGCCTCAACAGCTGCCTCACCCACTGCCTCAATCGCTGCCTCAACAGCTGCCTCACCCACTGCCTCAATCGCTGCCTCAACAGCTGCCTCAACCACTGCCTCAATCACTGCCTCAACAGCAGCCTCAACCACTGCCTCAATTGCTTCCTCAACAGCTGCCTCAACCACTGCCTCAATCACTGCCTCAACAGCTGCCTCAACTACTGCCTCAATCACTGCCTCAACAGCAGCCTCAACAGCTGCCTCACCCACTGCCTCAATCGCTGCCTCAACCACTGCCTCAATCGCTGCCTCAACAGCTGCCTCAACAGCTGCCTCAACCACTGCCTCTACCACTGCCTCTACCACTCCAGTCACACTCAATCTACAAGCACCAAACAATGAATTATTGTGAAATGTTTGGAAGAGCACGGAGACTAATGCTCACTCCAGCATAAACAAAGTCACACTGACGATGTGTCAACCACTCCCTCGTATTTTTGTACAACTTCCTTCAATTATATCGTATTTATTATTATTATTATTATTACTATTGTTATTATTAGCAGTAGCAGAAATGTTTGATTCTTTGCTGTGTTCAAGAGTAAACACATGATGTCACCGTCTAATACCTGTCCGAATAGCCATTCCAATATGCAGTCATGAATTGGTTTACATTATTTATACTGTAGTTTAATAGCAAATAATGAACAAACAAAACACTCACCACACTGAGTGGTGGGAGGGCTGGCTGCCAGTTGCGGGGGTCGGTGGAAGGGTAGTAGGGACTCGCAGGTGGTGGGAAACTTGAATATGATTTGGCGGCTGGGAATTCGCGAATGTGTGAAGCCCGCGAAAGCTGAAAACGTGAATGTTGAGGGAGACCTGTACAGGCATTGTACTTCCCGTTTCCAGTACTCAAGTCCGGCTATATAAAAATAACTGGTTTCCCTGAATCCCTTCACTAAATATTATTCTGCTCACACTCCAACAGCTCATCAAGTCCTGAAAATCATTCATCTCCATTAACTCCTATCTAACACGCTCACACATGCTTGCTGGAAGTACAAGCCCCTCACCCACTAAACCTCCTTTACCCCCTCCCTCCAACCTTTTCGAGGACGACCCTACCCCTCCTTCCCTTCCCTACAGATTTATACGCTCTCCAAGTCATTCTACTTTGATCCATTCTCTCTAAATAACCAAACCACCTCAACAACCCCTCTTCAGCCCTCTGACTAATACTTTTAGTAACTCCACACCTCCTCCTAATTTCCACACTACAAATTCTCCGCATAGTATTTACACCACATATTGCTCTTAGGACATCTCCAATGCCTCCAACCGCCTCCTCGCTGCAGCATTTACAACCTAAGCTTCATACCCATATAAGAGTGTTGGTGCCACTATACTTTCATACATTCCCTTCTTTGCCTTCATAGACAACATTTTTTGTCTCCACAGATACCGCAACGCACCACTCACCTTTTTCCTTCATCAATTCTATGGTTAACCTCGTCCTTCATAAACCCATCCGCTGACAAGTCAACTCCCAAATATCTGAAAACATTCACTTCTTCCATACTCCCCCTCTCCAATGTGATATCCAATTTTTCTTTACCTAAATCATTTGATACCCGCATCAGATGTTTATGGGTAATCTAATTTATTCTGATCATCTTCCTGGATACTGGGGTATCCAGAACACAGTGTTTTGTCTGCTAGGATTATCTACTTTTAAATTTAAAGTAGTCATTTTGGAGAGGCAACCAATATTCTTTTTAAAATGCTTTTAGAGTATGAATAACTCACTACTCTTAGAAATGAGTTAGAATACATTGAAAAGTTACAAAAATGACCAAGTTATGTGGTGAATATGAAAGCAGAGAACTGGAACAAAACCTGATCCAATATGATTAATACACAGGTAAATCACACACAGAGAAGAATATACCTGTTGATTGCGAAGTTCATATTCCTTCATATCAAGTGGTGTAGTTTTGAAGAGCATGTATTCCTTTTCTCCTGTCTCATTCAGAGTGAAACTTGCACAAGCTGATCTGTCCCTGAAAGGAAGTGAACAATGAGTAAAATTTTGTACATGTATAATGAAAGACTTTCATTGGACAAAAAGAAATACACAAATAACCCGCATGTAGGAGAGAGGAGCTTGCAACGCTCCAAGTCAGAACAAAATGACGTCGTAAGCGCCTCTCACCCATGTGTGGGCTATTTGTGTATTGTTCCAGTTATGGTATTGTGCTTCATTGTTCTTTTAGACAAAATGAAAGACTAGTGATAAGAGCAATGTGAGGTGGAATGAAGGTACTGGCTGCTGCAAATTATGTTGAAGTCAACTACAAAAGGAAGAAATCAATAGTTACCTATGTTCAACAGCTGCTACAAAAAACCCATGAGATGCAAGCTCAGTACAAACAGTACTATATATAGAACGATGTGCACTCAGTCCATGAGAAAACACAATGACAGGAAATTTTCTGTCAGTCACAGGTGCCCCCCACACTGCTGGAGTGGCCACACCTCCTGCAAATCAAAAATATAAAAAAAATAACCAGAACAAGCTGAATTAACAAACTCTTAATATGTGAAATATGGAAAAAGTTTACAACATGCTTAGTGAGTAAATTATAAAGTAACTAATAAATGACCATTATTAATTTACTCACATCTTGATATTAGTCCAGGATAGATTGAAACATCCAATTTTTATTTTTGTTTTGTAGCTTAAATGTTGAAGGATAAGCTATGGCAGGAAAAGAGAGACTATAAATGTATAAATTCAAGGATTATGTGGAGTAAAATAAAGGTTGGATGTGAAAACTGGGTTATAGTAAGCGTATATGCACCTGGAGAAGAGAGAAGTGTAGAGGAGAGAGAGGTTTTGGGAAATGTTGAGTGAGTGTGTGGGGAGTTTTGAACCAAGTGTGAGAGTACTTGTTGTTCGGATTTCAATACTAAAGTGGGTAAAAATGCTGTGGAGGGAGTAGTAGGTAAACTTGGGGTGTCAGGGGTAAATCAAAATGGGGAGCCTTTAATTGAGCTATGTGTAGAAAGAGGTTTGGTAATAAGTAATACATATTTTATGAAAAAGAAGATAAATAAATATACAAGGTATGACATAGTATGTAATGAAAGTAGTTTGTTAGATTATATATTGGTGGATAAAAGGTTGATAGGTAGGCTTCAGGATGTACATGTTTATAGAGGGGCAACTGATATATCGGATCATTATTTAGTTGTAGCTACAGTTAGAGTAAGAGGTAGATGGGACAAAACAAAACTGGCAACAACAAGTAAGAGAGAGGTGAAAGTGTATAAACTAAGGGAGGAAGAAGTTCAGGTGAGATATAAGCAACTATTGGCAGAAAGGTGGGCTAATGCAAGTATGAGTAGTAGGGAGGTTGAAGAGGGTTGGAATAGTTTTAAAAATGCAGTATTAGAATGTGGGGCAGAAGTTTGTGGCAATAGGAGGGTGGGTGCTGGAGGAAAGAGGAGTGAGTGGTGGAATGAAGTAAAGGGTGTGATAAAAGGTAAAAAGGTAGCCTACGAGAGGTTTTTACAAAGCAGAAGTGTTTTAAGAAGAACAGAGTATATGGAGAGTAAAAGAAAGGTGAAGAGAGTGATGAGAGTGTAAAAGGAGAGCAGATGATAGAGTGAGAGAGGCACTGTCAAGAAATTTTGATGAAAATAAGAAAAAATGTTGGAGTGAGATAAACAAGCTAAGAAAGCCTAGGGAACGAATGGATTTGTCAGTTAAAAACAGAGTAGGGGTGTTAGTAGATGGGGAGATGGAGGTATTAGGTAGATGGCAGGAGTGATAGGAGTGAAGAAGAGCAGGATGTGAGTGTGGGGGAGGTGCATGAGGCATTACGTAGAATGAAAGGGGGTAAAGCAGCTGGAACTGATGGGATCATGACAGCAATGTTAAAAGCAGGGGGGGATATAGTGTTGGAGTGGTTGGTAGTTTTGTTTAATAAATGTATGAAAGAGGGGAAGGTACCTAGGGATTGACAGAGAGCATGTATAATTCCTTTATATAAAGGGAAAGGGGACAAAAGAGATTGTAAAAATTATAGAGGAATACGTTTACTGAGTATACCAGGAAAAGTGGACGGCAGGGTTATCATTGAAAGAATTAAAGGTAAGACAGAATGTAGGATTGCAGATGAGCAAGGATGTTTTAGAATGGGTAGGGAATGTGTAGATCAAGTATTTACATTGAAGCATATATGTGAACAGTATTTAGATAAAGGTAGGGAAGTTTTCATTGCATTTATGGATTTAGAAAAGGCATATGATAGAGTGGATAGGGGAGCAATGTGGCAGATGTTGCAAGTATATGGAAGAGGTAGTAAGTTACTAAATGCTGTAAAGAGTTTTTTTTTGAAGATAGTAAGGCTCAGGTTAGGGTATGTGGAAGAAAGGGAGACTACTTCCCGGTAAAAGTAGGTCTTAGACAGCGATGTGTAATGTCACCATGGTTGTTTAATATTTTTTTTTTTTTTTTTATTATCACACCGGCCGATTCCCACCAAGGCAGGGTGGCCCGAAAAAGAAAAACTTTCACCATCATTCACTCCATCACTGTCTTGCCAGAAGGGTGCTTTACACTACAGTTTTTAAACTGCAACATTAACACCCCTCCTTCAGAGTGCAGGCACTGTACTTCCCATCTCCAGGACTCAAGTCCGGCCTGCCGGTTTCCCTGAATCCCTTCATAAATGTTACTTTGCTCACACTCCAACAGCACGTCAAGTATTAAAAACCATTTGTCTCCATTCACTCCTATCAAACACGCTCACGCATGCCTGCTGGAAGTCCAAGCCCCTCGCACACAAAAACCTCCTTTACCCCCTCCCTCCAACCCTTCCTAGGCCGACCCCTACCCCGCCTTCCTTCCACTACAGACTGATACACTCTTGAAGTCATTCTGTTTCGCTCCATTCTCTCTACATGTCCGAACCACCTCAACAACCCTTCCTCAGCCCTCTGGACAACAGTTTTGGTAATCCCGCACCTCCTCCTAACTTCCAAACTACGAATTCTCTGCATTATATTCACACCACACATTGCCCTCAGACATGACATCTCCACTGCCTCCAGCCTTCTCCTCGCTGCAACATTCATCACCCACGCTTCACACCCATATAAGAGCGTTGGTAAAACTATACTCTCATACATTCCCCTCTTTGCCTCCAAGGACAAAGTTCTTTGTCTCCACAGACTCCTAAGTGCACCACTCACTCTTTTTGTTTAATATACATGTATTTATAGATGGGGTTGTAAAAGAAGTAAATGCTAGGGTGTTCGGGAGAGGGGTGGGATTAAATTATGGGGAATCAAATACAAAATGGGAATTAACACAGTTACTTTTTCCTGATGATACTGTGCTTATGGGAGATTCTAAAGAAAAGTTGCAAAGGTTAGTGGACGGTTTGGGAGTGTGTGTAAAGGTAGAAAATTGAAAGTGAACATAGAAAAGAGTAAGGTGATGAGGGTATCAAATGATTTAGATAAAGAAAAATTGGATATCAAATTGGAGAGGAGTATGAAAGAAGTGAATGTTTTCAGATATTTGGGAGTTGACGTGTCAGCGGATGGATTTATGAAGGATGAGGTTAACCACAGAATTGATGAAGGAAAAAAGGCGAGTTGTGTGTTGAGGTATATATGGAGACAAAAAACATTATCTATGGAGACAGAGAATGGAATGTATGAAAGTATAGTGGTACCAACACTCTTATATGAGTGTGAAGCTTGGGTTGTAAATGCTGCAGCGAGGACGCGGTGGAGATGTCCTATCTAAGGGCAATGTTTGGTGTAAATATTATGCAGAGAATTCAGAGTGTGGAAATTAGGAGAAGGTGAGGAGTTACTAAAAGTATTAGTCAGAGGACTGAAGAGGGTTTGTTGAGGTGGTTTGGTCATTTAGAGAGAATGGATCAAAGTAGAATGACATGGACAGTGTATAAATCTGTAAGGAAAGGAAGGAAGGCGGGGTAGGGGTCATCCACGAAAAGGTTGGAGGGAGGGGATAAAGGAGGTTTTGTGGGCGAGAGGCTTGGGCTTCCAACAAGCATTGCGTGAGCATGTTAGATAGGAGTGAATGGAGACGAATGGTATTTGGGACCTGACAAGCTGTTGGAGTGTGAGCAGGGTAATATTTAGTAAAGGGATTCAGGGAAACCAGTTATTTTTATATAGCCAGATATGAGTACTGGAAATGGGAAGTACAATGCCTGCACTCTAAAGGAGGGGTTCGGGATATTGGCAGTTTGGAGGGATATGTTGTATATCTTTATACATACAGTGGACCCCCGGTTAACGATATTTTTTCACTCCAGAAGTATGTTCAGGTGCCAGTACTGACCGAATTTGTTCCCATAAGGAATATTGTGAAGTAGATTAGTCCATTTCAGACCCCCAAACATACACGTACAAACGCACTTACATAAATACACTTACATAATTGGTCGCATTCGGAGGTGATCGTTATGCGGGGGTCCACTGTATATATATATATACACGTATATAAGCCACTTCTTCGTACATATGCTGTATTTTTTTCAAGATTGATGGACTGATTACATTGACTCAAGGCTGAGGGACTGATTACCTCAAACTCCTCCTGTCCTTCACCATTCTCCTTTATATGGACTGATAAAGTAACTGTGCGGCAAAACGTTTCCTCATTAAAGATACCCAAGTGTTGCACATTTGTCTAATTTATTAATTTGTCGGTTCTCCGAACCATTCATCTACAAGCACGAAGTATGTTTTGTCTATGTTGAGAGCGAGTTTGTTGGTCATCATCCAAGTATATATATATATATTTGTTCATGACTAGCCATGTATGAAGGCTGATATGAAAGAGTATAAAATTATTGTACAATAAATTATTGTACAGCAGATCGTCGTTTAACATGGTAGATACGATCCTGAAAATGCAGTGGTAGTTAAAACAATGTTAGACAAACTGAAGAACTTATTGGAAAAATAGGGTTGCATTCCTGGGAGCCCCCAGGAAGCCAAACAACTTTTTTTCAGACCAACAGATCTTACAAAAATAAAACTGAATATGTAATTGTAGTTCATTGTCGTGATGTATTATGTTGATTTATTTATGTTATTGGGGGGTGGCAAGGGGTGGCAGGGGGTGGCAGAGGGTGGTGGAGGGTGGCAGGGGTGGTGGGGGATGGCAGTAGGTCTTCCCTGTTGACTCAATGGTCTAACCCACAGCCAGGCAAAGTGTATCCCGTGGGCAACGCTCCAAATTTTTTCCCCTCCCACAAACTGAATGGTGTTAAGTTAATTTTACGAAGTGTTATACAAAAATATGCAGCAATTCTTCAACAGTGCTATAACCAAAACATGCCAAACAAAACCGTGTTAAACAATGGTCTTCTGTAAATGTATTTGTAACTTTCCATGGGGAAGCGGAACAGACTTCTTCCCCTGTAAGCTATGCATGTTGTAAGAGGCGACTAACATGCCGGGAGCAAGGGGCTAGTAACCCCTTCTTATGTATACATTAATAAAGTTAAAAAGAGAAACTTTTGTTTTTCTTTTTGGGGCACCCTGCTTGGGTTTGTCGAAAGAAGCAGTATTTGTAACTGTTCTACAGGAAATTATGCAGCTGGAACTCAAATTCATATACTTACGCATCTGCCAGTTAAAGAGCATGCTGAAGAGGGAGGGTATGGACGGAGCAATGAAGGAGGCCAAGCCTCGGGTGTATTCCTCTCCCAAGAACCACGGTGTCCACTTCTCAGTGTGGCTCTGTAAAAATCATCTTTTGTTAACAACTAGGCTGAATGGCCCAAACTACTCTAGCACTTTCTATGAATACTGTATAATATTAATAACATCGTTAATAATTAAACTCTTCTGCCTTACCTAGATACACTTATAATACATAAAAAAATGAGTGATTTAAAATACAGTAGACCATCATTTAACATGGTAGTTACGTTCCTGAAAATGCTGTGTTAGGTAAAACCGTGTTAGATGAACTGAAGAACTTATGGGAAAAATACGGTTATGTTCCTGGGAGCCCCAAAAAAGTCAAACAACTTTTTTTTTAGGCCTCAACATCTTACAAAAATAAAAGTGAATATGTAATTGTAGTTCACTGTTGTGATGTATTATGTTGTTTTTACTGGTTAAGGCTACAAGTGTAACAGAAATAACAGTATTTCTTACCTTAAATTGTGGGTGCTGGTGTTTGTGGATGACTGTGAAGAGAGTGGAGAGTTATGTTGTGGTCCTACTGGGCTGAGGTGGATGGTAGAGGTTCTGGTACTGAAGTCGATGGTTGCACTGGAGTGTCTAACTTTAAGTCATTCAGTCAGTCAAGTCAGCAAGTCATTCAGTCAAGTCAGTAAGTCATTCAGTCAAGTCAATAAGTTGTTCAGTCAAGTCAATAAGTTGTTCAGTCAAGTCAGTAAGTCATTCAGTCAAGTCAATAAGTTGTTCAGTCAAGTCAATAAGTTGTTCAGTCAAGTCAGTAAGTCATTCAATCAAGTCAGTATGTCATTCAGCCAGTCAAGTCATTCAGTTAAGTCAGTAAGTCATTCAGTCAAGTCAGTAAGTCATTAAGTAAGTCAGTCATTTATTAAGTCAGTCATTTAGTAAGTCAGTCATTCACTAAGTCAATCACACAAACTCATGTTTGCCTCTTTTTGTGTGTACAAAGTAACACTTCATTACGGTTATCTCTTGTCTAATATCTTTGTTTTCCTCGTTAATTCTAAGACTTAATGCTTATACCTTTTCTTGCCACTTTCAGCAACACTGGTATGCCTACTGGGTGTCATGACTGCTTGGCAGATACAAGATATAGTAATTAAAAGATCAAAACACAATTCACAAACACAGCTAGCTCGTAGCAGAGAAGTACATACTGGACTGGACACGTATGAAGTACGAATGCTAGGGTGGTGAGGTGGTGTTGAGAGGTGGCAGGGAATGGCGGGAGGTCTTCCCGGCTGATTTACAACAAGACGGCCGCTTGAGGAAAAGGGAATTTTTTTTCCTTCCCACAAACTGAACCGTGTTATATAAATTTTACATGTTACATAAAATTGTGCCGCAATTCTTCAGTAGGTAAAATGAAAGGGGGTAAGGCAGCCAGGATTGATGGGATAAAGATAGAAATGTTAAAAGCAGGTGGGGATATAGTTTTGGAGTGGTTGGTGCAATTATTTAATAAATGTATGGAAGAGGGTAAGGTACCTAGGGATTGGCAGAGAGCATGCATAGTTCCTTTGTATAAAGGCAAAGGGGATAAAAGAGAGTGCAAAAATTATAGGGGGATAAGTCACCCTGCCTCGGTGGGAGACGGCCGACTTGTTGAAAAAAAAAAAAAAAAAAAAAGTCTGCTGAGCATACCTGGTAAGTGTATGGTAGAGTTATTATTGAAAGAATTAAGAGTAAGACGGAGAATAGGATAGCAGATGAACAAGGAGGCTTTAGGAAAGGTAGGGGGGTGTGTGGACCAGGTGTTTACAGTGAAACATATAAGTGAACAGTATTTAGATAAGGCTAAAGAGGTCTTTGTGGCATTTATGGATTTGGAAAAGGTGTATGACAGGGTGGATAGGGGGGCAATGTGGCAGATGTTGCAAGTGTATGGTGTAGGAGGTAGGTTACTGAAAGCAGTGAAGAGTTTTTACGAGGATAGTGAGGCTCAAGTTAGAGTATGTAGGAAAGAGGGAAATTTTTTCCCAGTAAAAGTAGGCCTTAGACAAGGATGTGTGATGTCACCGTGGTTGTTTAATATATTTATAGATGGGGTTGTAAGAGAAGTAAATGCGAGGGTCTTGGCAAGAGGCGTGGAGTTAAAAGATAAAGAATCACACACAAAGTGGGAGTTGTCACAGCTGCTCTTTGCTGATGACACTGTGCTCTTGGGAGATTCTGAAGAGAAGTTGCAGAGATTGGTGGATGAATTTGGTAGGGTGTGCAAAAGAAGAAAATTAAAGGTGAATACAGGAAAGAGTAAGGTTATGAGGATAACAAAAAGATTAGGTGATGAAAGATTGAATATCAGATTGGAGGGAGAGAGTATGGAGGAGGTGAATGTATTCAGATATTTGGGAGTGGACGTGTCAGCGGATGGGTCTATGAAAGATGAGGTGAATCATAGAATTGATGAGGGGAAAAGAGTGAGTGGTGCACTTAGGAGTCTGTGGAGACAAAGAACTTTGTCCTTGGAGCTCAAAGAGGGGAATGTATGAGAGTATAGTTTTACCAACGCTCTTATATGGGTGTGAAGCATGGGTGATGAATGTTGCAGCGAGGAGAAGGCTGGAGGCAGTGGAGATGTCATGTCTGAGAGCAATGTGTGGTGTGAATATAATGCAGAGAATTCGTAGTTTGGAAGTTAGGAGGAGGTGCGGGATTACCAAAACTGTTGTCCAGAGGGCTGAGGAAGGGTTGTTGAGGTGGTTCGGACATGTAGAGAGAATGGAGCGAAACAGAATGACTTCAAGAGTGTATCAGTCTGTAGTGGAAGGAAGGCGGGGTAGGGTCGGCCTAGGAAAGGTTGGAGAGAGGGGGTAAAGGAGGTTTTGTGTGCGAGGGGCTTGGACTTCCAGCAGGCATGCGTGAGCGTGTTTGATAGGAGTGAATGGAGACAAATGGTTTTTAATACTTGACGTGCTGTTGGAGTGTGAGCAAAGTAACATTTATGAAGGGGTTCAGGGAAACCGGCAGGCCGGACTTGAGTCCTGGAGATGGGAAGTACAGTGCCTGCACTCTGAAGGAGGGGTGTTAATGTTGTAGTTTAAAAACTGTAGTGTAAAGCACCCTTCTGGCAAGACAATGATGGAGTGAATGATGGTGAAAGTTTTTCTTTTTCGGGCCACCCTGCCTTGGTGGGAATCGGCCAGTGTGATAATAAAAAAAATAAAATAATTCTTCAATTGTGCTATACCCAAATCATGCCAAATAAACTAGTGCTGAATGAAGGTCTACAGTATATATGATACACACTTTCCATAACAACAGCCTGGCAGCTCTAATGTTATCTTAAAACTTCATGAAAACTGGCTTGATTTGATATATGTAACACGTATATTTCTTTCGAGTTAATATACAAATAATCTGCACATAGTAGAGAGGAGCTTACAACGACATTTTGGTCTGGCTTGGACCATTTGCAAAGCCACACTAACAAAGGAGAGAAGGAGCCAGTATACATAGCCAAGCTGCCAATTTTCCTATATATATACTGACTGACAGAAAATTCCCTATCATCAAGCTGATGAGTAAGATACATGTATAACAGTTTGGTATCTTTACTGACAAGATATTTTGTCTACTCAGTAGGCTTCTTTGGTCTAAATACATAGGAAACAGCAGAGGCCATGGAAATATAGATATGAAGTGTGCTCAGCTACTGAGCTGAATGTACACAAAGACTGACCACCTCAGCTACATCTCTACGACTTCTGTTGACTCCTCCATATTTCAACTGCAGAAGGCTGGTGAGCAGGCAAAACCTCATGCCCATAAAGATACCAAACTGTTGCAAGTGTCTTACTCACCTTTAAAGGAGCTATCAGAGCAATGCTTGTAGTGTCCTGCTGTCAGTATTACTACTGAAATAGTACGTATATGCTTGTGTAGTATATTGTAGATCGTATCATCCATATATACATTTAGGCTCCCTGCTCAGCTAGGCCCAGTGGCTAGCATGTGTGACGTCACACAGTGACTCATGTGAGTATCTTTCACCCTGCCTCTCTCTCAGTTCCCGTATTGGTATAGGAGAGATAGGTAGGGCTGGGCTAAGTTTCCCTCACGACTCTGCCAATGTAAGTGATTACAACCAACCAAGTGTGTTTATCTCCAACCATCATATCTCCAAGGAACCCTCACAATAAATGGTGACAGCGGTGGGTCCGTAATTCGGATGATTACGGCGATATAAGGAGATAATCTTCTACCAGCTGACAGATGTTGTGTCTTGTGCCGGCAGCCATTTTGTGACTGCCCTAGGCCTGCAGAAAGAGAGAAACTATCTTCCCATCCCAAGTCAGCACCTACCAGCCTGTCTGCACTGCTCCCTGGTTAGTCCATGTGCCTTATCTGCTTATTTGCATTACTTCCAAGGGGTTAACCCGGGTTTGCAAATTAACCCAATCCAGTCTGTGGGGGGATCTGCCATCTACAATATTTATTAAGTTTCCCACAAAACACTCACACCCTCCAACACTACTTACCACATTGGAGTAAAGAAGAAATCTAAAGATGCTCTACCAAGCAGTGTTTTTAACTGAAGTGCAAAGAGTATTATTAATAATGTTCCAAACTCAAATAATCATTTAGTGATGATAAAAAAAAAATTCTTCTTATTCTTTCTAGTAATCTTTACAGGAAAAGGGGTTACTAGCCCATTGTTCCCGGCATTTTAGTTGACTTTTACAACACGCATGGCTTACGGAGGCAAGATTCTTATTCCACTTCCCCATGGATATAAAAGGAAAAGTAATAAGACCAAGAACTATTAAGATAAAATCAAAGAAAACTCAGATGAGTGTGTATAAATAAATGTGTACATGTATGTGTAGTGTGACCTAAGTGTAAGTAGAAGTAGCAAGACATGCCTGTAATCTTGCATATTTATGAGACAGACAAAAGACATCAGCAATCCTACCATCATGTAAAACAATTACAGGCTTTCGTTTTACACTCACTTGGCAGGACGGTAGTACCTCCCTGGGTGGTTGCTGTCTACCAGGGTAATATTTAGTGAAGGGATTCAGGGAAACCGGTTATTTTCATATAGTCGGACTTGAGTCCTGGAAATGGGAAGTACAATGCCTGCACTTTAAAGGAGGGGTTTGGGATATTGGCAGTTTGGAGGGATATGTTGTGTATCTTTATATGTGTATGCTTCTAGACTGTTGTATTCTGAGCACCTCTGCAAAAACAGTGATAATGTGTGAGTGTGGTGAAAGTGTTGAATGATGATGAAAGTATTTTCTTTTTGGGGATTTTCTTTCTTTTTTGGGTCACCCTGCCTCGGTGGGAGACGGCCGACTTGTTGAAAAAAAAAATAAATAAAAAATAAAAAAATATATTATTTTGAGGAATTGAGCAGACTATTTTTTTCAATATTCCAGCCAAACAGACTGCCCAGTTTACACTGCTCAGACCACTGATCAAACTGACTTCCACCTTTTCATGGATATTTAAAAATTTGAACAGTTATGTAATCCACCTATTCTACAAATCATTTTGATGTATGATTAATCTTAAGTCTACCCAATATGCATAAAAGAACTATAAGCTTATCTATATATGATGATAAAATGATGATTGTAACATGGACAATAAACATTACATTATTATTCTTTGAAGTCCCATATTCTATCATATCAAATTCTTCTATCTCCTGTGTTACTAAATGATGGGTGAGTTTTTCACAGTTTGTCTTGTATGCACATTACTTATAAACAAAATATTTTGACTTGTAAACTGGTATGAGAATTTTATAGAAGTACAGTATTCACATTTGCTCAACTCAAAAACTAAAACAGCTCCACACCTAAGAATTTTCTCTACTACTGAATAGTTTTACTCCTAGCTTAAGTCTTCCCAAAATACTGCATGCACTAATAGCATTTAAATTTTTTAACTCTTGTATGCATTTTTTTAAATAAAGTATTACTATTATTAGTACAGTAGTAGTATCAGTGCATATTATTATTATTATTATTATTATTACAGTAAAATTATCATTTACTCCATTGCAGAACATGTATGTGAAGTAGAGGAAAAAATTCTCTAGTACAATCCTTAATTAATACTATACATTTAAAGTATTTTTTATCTTACCATAAGATCTGTGAGTTTTGATGGATAGTAGAGACGCATTAGTGTTCCATCTTTAGTTCGTCCAATCATGATGTCTGTGGCACCTACCACATGTGGCCCTGACAACCATGAGAAGAATATATATAGTTAAAAACATGAGAAGAATATATATAGTTAAAAACAAAGGCTTTCTCCTGGTAAAGTAACAATGTGTGCTATGTATCTGACATCTTCCGCTTTTAACTGTAACTACAGTATCACTGAAAGAAAAATAAGATTATTTGGCATTATTTGGCTTACAAGAGGAGGAGCAGCAGCAGGCATAAGGACACTTGCCCATGCATCTTTCTCATTTGGGAAATTGAAATCAAGGTACTTAGGGTCGTGAGCTGCATGCTCATTACTGAGCTATGGAATGCCACATACCAGGGGTGGATCTACTATGAAATTAATGAAGCTTAAGCTTCAGGGCTCCTAATCCTGGAGGGGCGCCAGAAGTGACTATAGTACACGCTGGTTAAAATTTTGGGTCTACTGTATGAGAAGGGGTTGCAAAGGGGCCCCCATAACAGTTCAAGCCTCAGGGCCCCAAAAATGTAGATCTGCCACTGCCATGCACTCCACAATTTTTTTTCTCACTGGCCGTCTCCTGCCAAGGTAAGGTCACTCAAAGAAGACAACACATTCACCATCACTCATTCAACTGCTGTCTTTATTTATTAAATGATTAAAACAATGGTGTTGTACGAACTTGTGTATACATAGTAACATTTTTATGAAGCTTATATTATGCACAGTGTTTTGGGTATGGCTTAAGTTAACACAGAAAATTAATTAAAAGCATATACAGTGATACCTCGGGATACGAAGAGCTCAAAACGCAAACAATTATGTAAGCGTATTTATGTAAGTGCTTTTTGTAAATGTATTTTTGGGGGTCTGAAACGGATTACTCTAATTTATATTATTCCTTATGCGAACAAATTCATTCAGTATCAGCACTCGAACAACCTTCTGGAACGAAATAAGTTCATATCCCACGGTACCACTGTACTAAGAAAGAAAACACTTATATATTACACATCTAGGAACACAAGTGCATATTAAATACACCATAACAAATGTATTCTCTTTATATCATAACCTGCAGCTTTAACCTTGTTCAGAAAACTTTTATCAATACAGAGCATCACCCTTTCATATGCATGTATGTCATGTTTGCATGATAATGGTAATCACGGCAAATTATAAAAATATGCTACTCACAAGAGCACTAGAACTAGGATACTCAGTAATGTGACAAGATGAGTTAGCTAAGTGACAAGGAGACAATATCAAGACTAATAAATATCCCAGGAAAGATTGTGTAGGGGTGGAGATATGTTGCAGTTTTTGAACTGTATTATTGGCATGCCTCTGGCAAGACAATGATGGAGTGTGTGATGATGAGAACATATCTTCTTTTTGGGTGGGTTACCCCTTCCTAGGTGGGAGACAGCTGATATATTAATAAATAAAAATTAGTAGTTTATATTTGTGTGTCCGTCATGCTGAAATACATAAAAAAAAGGTGTTCACACATCAATGAATTTCCAAAATCTTTACCATACGCTTTCACATTAAATATACCTTGAGGTAGAGGCGTGTGGTTGGTAAATCTTGAACAAGTTTTTCCTGCCATTGTCTTCATAAATTGTATTGAAACACCTCCCAAAGAGGTCGGACACCTTGAAGCCGCAGCCAAAAAGTAAATTGTGTGTAGACCTGTAAAAAATATTAGGCAAAATATTAGAGGCAGCAAATAAAGCACTAAAAATATATAAAACATTTATGTTGAAAATGGTATAAAATACCTACAAATTGATAATTAAGACACATGTGCAACAGCTGGGTATCTATTGTTGAACTGTTTCACCTCACACAGTAGGCAAAAACTTCAACAATAAAGATACCCAATTGTCACACATGTGACTTAATAATCATTTAAACCAGTAAATCAACATTTACAATACAGTGCACATCCAAACACACAGTTACATGACTGACAAGCTATTTTAAAAGCAATTCATCCACATGCAGCAAGATAATTTACAGACATTTTAAAGAAAGTAAACAAGTTCCATGAAATTTCAAACTCAAGGAACATCAATGCATGACCCATCATGCAGCCATTGGCAAAATTTGTTAAGTCATACCAGCAGGCAGGGTCTCAAGACAAGAACTGCCAGAGTGGACTCTTACTCCCCTAATAGTAAGAAAATCATATCCAAGGTGGAAAATGCTCATATTACTGGGGTTGCCCATCAAGCCATTGGTAATTATGCTGCAGCCTAATGCCATCAACATGTCATTAGGCACCAATATTTATTACCCGGCATGTCAGTAGTTGCTACTTGCTGTGCCTCCACAATAGAGCCAACAGCACTACTGAATGACTCGTATAGCAATGAATGTGTCGAGTGATTTTCCACAGCAAAACCAATTTCAACAGCGGGTACAGAATAAATCTCTAACATAATAGTAAATGTGTTCTCAAAAGCAAATATTGTACTGAAAAAAGACTGTTAAGATAAAAAATATTGGTCTCTATCTAATCATTATGAAGATAGGTGAGAAAGTGAAATACAGTGGACCCCCGCCTTACGAACGCATCGTGTTACGTTAAATCTGCCATACGAAGCATTTGAACGCAAAAATTTTGCCTTGCCTCACGTTAAAAAACTCGCCTTGCGTGATTCGTCCAGGACGCGTCCCACATGTGGCCTCAGTGCCAGTGTTTACAAGCCAGCCAGTACGGTCACATCTATGCATACATTCAGTACATTTCACATTATCCCAGTGTTTTTAGTGCTTGTAATTGCAAAATAAGTCACCATGGACCCCAAGAAAGCTTCTAGTGCCGTCCCTGTGGTAAAAAGGGCGAGAATTAGTATGGAATTGAAAAAAGAGATTAAGGAAATGTGTGCAAAGTGGGTTGAACTGCAAACCTTTACGGATGAAAATCACCCTGACACAGCTACTACAAGCCATGTTGGCAACCTGTACAATGACAATGTTATGGCCCATTTTAGGAAAGTCTTAAAGGAACAGGAGGTACAGAGTTCTATGGACAGATTTGTTGTGCGACAGAAGTCCAGTGACTCTCAAGCTGGTCCTAGTGGCATTAAAAGTAGAAGGGAAGTAACCCCGGAAAAGGACTTGCTACCTCAAGTCCTAATGGAAGGGGATTCCCCTTCTAAACAATAACTTCCACACTCTCCCCTCCTCCCATCCCATCAATCATCACCAGATCTTCAATAAAGGTAAGTGTCATGTACGTATTCTGTTCTTAGTAGAGTAGTAATTGTGCATGTCTTCTTCAGGTTGTGTGTATTAAAATTAATATTTCATGTGGTAAAAAAAAAAAAAATTCACTCCTATCGAACACGCTCACACACGCCTGCTGAAAGTCCAAGCCCCTCACCCACAAAACCTCCCTTACCCCTTCCTTCCAACCTTTTCGAGGAAAACCCCTACCCCGCCTTCCTTCCCCTGCAGATTTAAATGCTCTCCATGTCATTCTACTTTGATCCATTCTCTCTAAATGACCAAACCACCTCAACAACCCCTCTTCAACCCTCTGACTAATACTTTTATTAACTCCACACCATCTCCTAATTTCCACACTCCAAATTTTCTGCATAATATTTACACCACACATTGCCCTTAGACAGGACATCTCCACTGCCTCCAACCACCTCCTCACTGCTGCATTCACAACCCAAGCTTCACACCCATATAAGAGTGTTGGTACTACTATACTTTCATACATTCCCTTCTTTGCCTCCATAGATAACGTTTTTTGACTCCACATATACCTCAATGCACCACTCACCTTTTTTCCCTCATCAATTCTATGATTAACCTCATCCTTCATAAATCCATCCGCCGACATGTCAACTCCCAAGTATCTGAAAACATTCACTTCTTCCATGCTCCTCCTCCCCAATTTGATATCCAATTTTTCTTTATCTAAATTATTTGATACCCTCATCAAATATAACTGTGTCATTTACATACAAGAGATCCAACGTTTTTACCTTACTTAAGCTTTTTAGACAGAAAATTCTTGAAAATTTTTAAAGATGATATGATTGCCTGACAAAAAAGAGGTGACAAATGATATACTGTTTACCAGAGGGTGTGCTGTGGTGGCAGTGTTATCACTACTATCAGTTCCTGCTGACCTATGACACTCTTACCCAGCCAAAGGTCGTGCACTGATAAGCAGAAATCTACAGTGTCAATAATAATGTTACATTGTAGAGAGAGCTTACTGTACATATGACATAGTGAACTTAAGACAGCATCTGTTACCTTAATGGTGAATGTCTGCAGAAAGTTTTTAATAAAAAGTAATTTATACAGCACAGTCATTTCTGCATACAAAAAAAAAAATTATTTAATTGACCCCTCAAAAATTTAATTTAATGCCACCTAAATTTCATTTTCATAATCTCCAGTGCCTTCAAGCTTTCCTCAGACACCTCCTTCCAGCCACATCAACCTTGCACATCATTTTATCTACCTGTTTGTCAGCCTTTATAAATCAGCAAAGCATCTCAAAAATAGAAGACAAGAAAAAAGCACTACAGTAGACCTATTGAACCATACTACATAAGTCCTATCCCACTCGTGTAACTATCCAACTCACACACACATTATTAGCTTCAATGACTGCTTGACAGTAATAACTATGTCCAAACACATCTTGAAACCTTATTGAGTATTCGTCCATTATTCGTCCTCCTCTGCTTCTTGTTTCAACTGTTTCCCTATTCCCATAAACATATTGTACCATATGCAAAATAACCACAGGGGGAATTGAATGATGGCTCTAGGCCTTTCATGTTGCCAACATATCATCAAGAGTTTACAATGTTGCAGAAATAGAGCAGGACCTTGATCATATTCCCATTCATTAATGCCTTTCAAAAAATTTAGGTTCAAGGCTATTACTCTATTTTCATAAGTGATAATCTACAACAAATTAATTTTGTCAGTCTTCACCATGTTTTCACACTGCACATCTATACACTTCTCACCAGGATAACCCAACATAGCCAAACACTATGATTTGTTTCCATTGAGATCCCCTCTTAGGATGTGACACACAAAAGACAATTAATACCCAGGTACCTATTTATGGCTAGGTGAACAGGCAGTGGCAATGCCAAAATTTCAATACTGGGGGGAGGGGGTTGGAGACTTGTCTTGAAGCAGCATTATTATCACTGTTTGCATTTGAAGGGGCTGAAGCCCCCCTGAAATAGGGGCATCAAAAGTAGGAAGACTTGCCATATATCCAGCCCTACCTGAGAATTGAATTGGTTTTGAGTCATGAATTTTTAATACTGTTTTATAAAATCAACCTCTGAATTACAATATACTCTACACTCATAAAAACAGTCTTCACATCCCACAAAAGTGTTTTCAACTATCACTAACACAGTTTCTAGGACACCTGGTTTCACAATGAGGAGCACACAGTCACCCACTGACAACTGGCGAGTGAATGAGGTTTCAGTGGGGTACAAAGCTGAAACATGCTGTTGCCAGCTACAACTAATACCAATTTTACAGGTCATAGTCACGGAAGATTAGCCAACAGATTTTACAAAAAAGTATTATATGCTGCATTCTTAGTTTTATATAATAAAACTTACTAATAATATTTTCTTAAAAATTCTTTATAATGAAGTAAAAAATAATTAAAAATATCATCTACAAATACTCTACACTAAAAATGAGCCGTCGTAAAGTCCATGGCCATATATCAAACAATGTTCGCACGATGACATTAACAACAGCAGATAATAAAGATATGCTATGGACAATAACACTCAGAACTAGGACACTAGGTAATACGACAAGATAAGGTAGATAAGTGATGAGACAATATTAAGGCTAATAATATACAGCACCAAGAATGGGTGTGCACAATAACTGATAAACACCTAATTGCAAAGATGAATTATACGTACAATAAGAGCTAAATAATTTATTACACAACAAACAGCATATAGCAAATCCCCACTCCCGCCAGCATACTCCACCAATTTTCAAAAGGCTGAATCTGCTTACCATTAAGAACATCCATACTTATTCATGTGCCTACTACATACACAGAACAATACATGCAAATATAAACCCCCCACTCAAACTTTTCCTCACCAACCTAAACAGGACACATGACCACAACACAAGACACAGATCTCTTTTTGATATACCTTGTGTCCATATCACACTGTGTAAAAACTCTATGCACGTAAAGGACCCCAAAATATGGAATTCATTACCAAAGATAATAAAGTAACCCAGTCTGAAAATCAATTTAAGACTCTTCTCAAAAGCCACTTAATCACCCTAGACTAAATGCTAAATACACAGTATACATTTACTCACCTATGTACTCCCACATCATAACTGAAACAATCACATTGAGCCTTTTATCCATTGTTGACAGGTCTATAATTGAATCATAGTTTTTTACAATAGCATTTTAGAATATAAATATGTATATCTTTGTATAATACAAATTTTGATTCATTTATAATTAATATTCTACTGTACAACCTATGAAATAATTACTTTCCTACTGTACAACTATGATATACTCCTCCTTAGTATTAAGTAGAATGTAAGCCAATAATGTTAAGTTGACCCATAATGCCAAGGCATAATAGAGGCTCTCTTTGTATTGCAACCCACTATTGTATATACACAATCTCAATGTACTGTTTGCAAAGACATTAAATAAATAAATAAATAAATAAATAAATAAATAAATAGAAGCTAAGAGAACTACATTTATATTTGCTTAGATCATAAGTGAAAAAAAAAAATAAAAATATAAAGGCAAAGTTTAGAAAAACTCAAAAGGCCAAGTGTACAAAGATTAACAAGTCAAAAGCACTAATATAATTTCAGAAAGTTATTCCATTTTGAACACACATGAACAAAATTTATGTCAATTTGAACACAACAGACGAGTATGATATGAGTGAATGCTATTTACAATACACGTCAGTGGGTAATGTACGATAACTGCAACACAAAACTAAACACAAAGACACAAAAACACACTTAAGTCAACAGAAAAAGTAAAAACAAAGAAGAGCAAGTCACAAAAAATTTCAGCAAGCACACCAGCCATGAGTTAAATATCAAAATCATCCAGGGACAAGCAGGAGGAGGAGCAAAGGACGAAAAGCACATAAGAAAATGCGATCACAAGAGAGGTTCCTGTACCCACCACCATATGTTTACATCAGTCCTCGGTTAATAGTCTGAAATTAAAAAAATAGCATTAGAATACGACAGGTCTTGTCAAAGAACAAGAGCTTCTGCCTTTACTCTGTCTACCTGAAAATCTTTGACTTTTTTGGCTTTATCCCAAGTAATTTACACAAGTTAAACTATAGTACAGTGGTCCCTCGCTTTTCGTAGTTCTCGGCAATCGTAAATTTCGCCAATCATAGGGGTATTTTCATATAAACATGGACTCGCTTTTCATAGGTTGACTCGCAAATAGTAGTTCGTCCGGGATGCGTACACACGGTGTTAGCCAGGGAGGCCTCCCTACCCAGCCAGTCTGGCATTATTTACCAGTGAGTGAAGGTCCCCTCAAGTGCTCCTACGAAATATTTCATAATATTCCACTCATTTTAGTGCTTGCAAGTACTAAATAAGCTACCATGGCTCCAAAGAAAGCTCCTAGTGCCAAGCCTGTGGTAAAGAAGGTGAGAAATATGTACAGTGACAAAGTCCTGGGCCATTTTAGGGAAGTGTTAAAGAGACGCCAGAAACAGAGCTCTCTCAACAGTTACTTTGCGAGACAGGACTAGAGTGACTCTCAAGGTGGTCCTAGTGGCATTAAGAAACAGAGAAGAGAAGCAACCCCAGAGAAGCAATTGGTACCTGAGGTGTTGCTGGAAGGGGATTCCCCTTCCAAACTGTAAACAATCCAATCTCTCTCCTCTTCCAGTCTCCCATACACTAAGAAGAATCTCCAATAAAGGTAAGTGTTATGCTGTTAATGTTTCATTCATCATTTCCCATTGTATTGTTTATGTACTACATGTATATTTCATGTAAAAAATTTTTTTGTTTTAATACTTCTGGGTGTCAGGAACGGATTAATTGTATTTACATTATTTCTTATGGGGAAAATTGATTCGCAAATCGTAAATTTCGTTTATAGTAGCTCCTCCAGGAATGGATTAATTACGAAAAATGAGGGACCACTGTACATGATACTTGTACTTACGTGTACCTATTCCTAAATAAACTTGTTAGCATGGCTCAATAATGCCTAATATTGAATTAAGCAAATCTGCTTTTAGAATGCCAAAATTAAAATGCTGTGCATGCACTCAAACTTGAACATAACAAAACTTCTGAGGCTAACCAAAAGTTTTCGACCTAACTTCCCATGCAAATCTGGAAACTGGTATATGTGAGACACTCACAACCTAGCTGTACTCACCTGACTAAAAGTTTCTACAGCCTGAACACTCAACAGTACTGTACTTTAAGTATACAAGATAGAGAGGAGTGACAAAGTTCATTATCTGTATCAGGAACCTTTCGTATGAAGACAGACTGAGAGACCTGAACTTACACTCAGAAGCCATAGAATGAGGAGAAATTTATTTGAGATGTGTAAATGAAAGATGAGCATAAATATATGGGATATAAGATGTTAAAAGCATGGAAACAATGAGTTCAAATGTAATAAATTCAGTTATGGAAAAGCACTGGTTTAGCAATGAAGTTGTAGGTGAGTGGAACAACCCACTTAGAGATGTCATTTATGCCAATACAGCACTTTGGGTAGCAGTATAGACAGGATGAACAGATACAGTGGCAATGGTTGGGTGTGGGCAGAACCTTTCTACCATGGACCAATAGGACTACTGTAGTGCTTATTTCTCTTTATGTGAATATGAGAAAAGTGTAGATGTGGAGTAAGTGTGCTAATACAAAAGAGGGGTCAGTGGGAACAGGCAAGGAAGAATATGAGGAGACATTCTGAGTAGCATAGGCATGGTATATAAAAATACTGCAGTTACATGAGCAAATGTGTTATGTCAACAATTTTCAATTAAGGGAACACATTTACTGCCACTCATTCAATGGATAGATGCCCTGCAAGAAATGTGCAGACATTACAGTAAGTAACTTTAATTAGGTACAGGTACACCTAAATACAATTATCATACAGTGGATTGTGAATTTCACGTGACACTTAACTTCCCACTGGAGGTTCCTTTACTAAATTCAAAATCTTCCCCCCTTTATGGGCCAAAATTAAATCCATGGAATTAAATTTATCAATTGAATGACCAATATGGTTTTTCAAAGAATTTCTTCCCTTCAATGAGACATATATACAATTGTCATGTGTAAATTATCAATATTGTATGAATTTAATGTTTAATAAAATAATTAGGTTGGACTAATGTCATCAAGAAAGAAGAAATTTTCACATTCAAATGCCCAAGAAGCGGGGTAATATACAATGTTTGTCATTTTGTAAAATTTAGCATGACAATACGATGAATGTAATTTATGTTTAATATAAAGATATATAGTATATATAAGATAAGGAAACAAAAGAAATTAATAAAATTAACTATGAACAAATGTATATATAATATATGTGTACTTATGTATGTATACATATATATATATATATATATATATTATTATTTATTATTAAAATATATATATATATATATATATATATATAATATATATATATATGTACTGTATGTATGTATACACACACACATATATATATATATATATATATATATTATATATATATATATATAATATATATATAATATATATATATATATATCAATTATATATATACATGTATATATATACACACACATACATACATACAGAGACAGGATGTTGCAAAGAGGGGACACAGAAACAAGGAGTCCCTCTTGGAAGTTGAAGACTCAGATGAGTCAAAGGGATGTTAGGAAGTATTTCTTCAGTCACAGAGTTGTTAGGAAGTGGAAAAGTCTAGCGAGTGATGTAGTGGAGGTAGGAACCATACATAGTAAAGCTTTAAGACGATGTATGATAAAGCTCATGGAGCAGGGAAAGAGAGAACCTAGTAGCATTCTGTGAAGAGGCGGGGCCAGGAGCTGAGTCTCGACCTCTGCAACCACAATTAGGTGAGTACATACATACATACAATGATCAAATGTAGCCGATTTAGTTAATTCAAGAGGTTTATTATGCATTCTGATACCCATCCTGATGCTGCTCAGTGAGGTCAGCATCACACACCATCATAACCCACCTGACATCTCGACGTCCTTTGTATACCCAGACGAGATGACTGAAAAGGTGAATTCTGTGGGTATCTGACGGTGCGTCCCAGGTGTCATCCAGGCAGCAGGGACGCAGGAGGGACGTAGCAGGGACGCAGCAGGTAGCAGGGAACGTAGCAGGTAGCAGCACGTAGCAGGGACGCAGCAGGTAGCAGGAACGTAGCAGGTAGCAGTGAAGTATCAGGATGGTGCACCTCCCAACACTTAGTTATTGGGTTAGCAAGCAGCCTTGGCACCCTGCACTCATCCATACACGTGACCCTGGCACCCCTCTCTTTATAAGTAGATTTACTTATTATTATAGCTGTTATAATCACACCTAGGAGCTAAACCCGTAAGGATCATACAGCGCTGCATATATTTACGAAGAATTTAACCTAGGATAACTCAGTGAAGTCAAAAGAATGTTGTTTATTGATTCTGATGCCACGGGCATCTTCCATGGTGAGACATCAGTAAATAATTTTATAAGTAGGTTTATTTAGGCACAAGTACACATAAGTACAATTATCATACATAGTGTAAATTACCTAGGATAACCCCCCAAAAAGCCAAAGTGACTTTATTTCCATTGGGGTTCTTGTCTTAGCTTTAAGTGGCATTGATTGGCACAGAGAATTTGTTCGAGTCGTAAAATTGATCAATGGGTGTGAATTCCCCCCCCCCAAAAAAAAAAAAAATTACAATATACAAAGAGACTAAATATCCCATAACTTCCAATAGCATCCTCAGGATGCTATTGGATAAAAAAATCTGTATGAGAAATAGTTCAGATTGTGCATAATTACTAAGGATCAGACCAAAGAGAGAGTTCCGGGGGTCAACGCCCCCTCGGCCCAGTCTGTGACCAGGCCTCCTGGTGAATCAGAGCCTGATCAACCAGGCTGTTACTGCTGGCTGCACGCAATCCAACGTACGAGCCACAGCCCGGCTGGTCAGGTACCGACATTAGGTGCTTGTCCAGTGCCAGCTTGAAGACAGTCAGGGGTCTATTGGTAATCCCCCTTATGTATGCTGGGAGGCAGTTGAACAATCTATACTTGCCACTCAAATGAAGAAGTCTAAACAACTTTATTATGAAAGCAGATTTAATCAAATAAAAGTGGATATGAAAAACTGGAAAACCCTCTCCGAAATCCTGGGCTCTCGAAATCCGTCCATAGTCAGTTTTATAGACCTAGCTAAACCAGATGAGCCTCATATCCAGTCTGCAGAAACAGCCAACATACTAAGTGATTTCTTCTCTGCTATAACATCAAATGGAAATAAAGTATAAGGATCTCAATGGAAATAAGTCACTTTGATTTTTATTTTTTTGGGGGGAGGGGTTATCCTAGGTAATTTACTTATGTATGATAAAATGTCTAATAGAATTTATGTGATGATGTGTACCTGTACCTCAATAAACTACCTAGCATAGACCAGTAGGCTTACTGCAGTGCTCCACAATTCTTGTTACTACTACTACTTCTGCTAGTTGTGAATCCCGTCCCCTCCAACGTCTTTGAGATCTTTCGCCTTATCTTCGACAGTATTTAAGACTCCATTCTCATTCTTCAGGTTAGTCACATCGCCTCCAGAGAATCACTGGAGTCGCTCTGGCATTCGGGCTGCGGCCCGAGTGCCAGAAATGGCTCAAATGGAACACGGCTTTTGGGATTTGAAAGCCTCGTACCAGGGAGAACACCGGCTCTGACACCACTTGAACCCAAGATGTGCTGTTCCTCAGTTCCAGGGCTTCGATGACGATTGTAGCTAACTACTACACCACCTGTGCTGAAGAAGACTCACAGTTCCCTTGTCATAGGGCTGCCCCCACCATGGCCTGTAAACGGTACTACACGTAACACGAAGGCTCTTCGCGCCCTTGTCATTGGGCTGCCTAACTAAACCTTGTCATTGGGCTGCCTAACTAAACCTTGTCATTGGGCTGCCCAACTAAACCTTGTCATAGGGATGCCTAACTAAACTTGTCATTGGGCTGCCTAACTAAACCTTGTCATAGGGCTGCCCCCCGCCAAAGGACTGTAAGCGATACTCGACCTGAACAAGATTCACTGCGTCCTTGTCACAGGACTGTAAACAGTACTCCACCTGACACGAATGCTCACCATGCCCCTGTCATAGGACTGTAAACGTGTACATCACTTGTACAAACTCCAACACTCCTTTGGGAGCCACTGCCGGGTCACCACATGAAGAAGACCCGTCCTGGCAAACCTACCTGAAACTGAACCTGCCTCAGGTTCATATCGTTTCAGACCATGGAGCTGAACTCTTCAAGTTTGATGGACTGATTACAATACATTGCTTCACACGGCGAGGGTCCGGGTTCGATTCCCGGCGAGGGTAGAAGCATTGGACGTGTTTCCTTACACCGGGTGTCTTATTTGCCCCATCTGTAAAATGGGTACCTGGGTGTTAGTCGACTGGTGTGGGTCGCATCCTGAGACAACACTGACCTAATTTGCCCGAAATGCTCTGCATAACAAGCGGCTTTCTATATACAGGAAAAGTTGGTAGATGGATCTCTAATTTCCTAACAAATAGAACACAGAGTAGTAGTAAACAGTAAAGTCTGAGGCGACTACTGTAAAAAGCTCTGTTTCACAAGGCACAGTACTCGTTCCCATCCTGTTCCTCATCCTCATATCCGACATAGACAGGGCTGTAAGCCACAGCACCGTGTCTTCCTCTGCAGATGACACCCGAATCTGCGTGACAGTGTCTTCCAAGCGGACATCAACCAAATTTTTAAATGGGCCGCAGAAAAGAAAATGAAGTTCAATGAAAAATTACAAATACTCCGATATGGAAAACGTCAGGAAATTAAAGCTATATCGCATTATAAAACAAATTCCAACCACACAAGAGCGAAAAACTTATGTAAAAGACCTGGGAATAATCATGTCAGAGGAAACCATACCCCCGGCCGGGATTGAACCCGCGGTCATAGAGTCTCAAAACTCCAGCCCGTCGCGTCAGAGGATCTCACCTTCAAAGACCATAACGTATCAATCGCATCTGCTAGAAAATTGACAGGATGGATGAGAACCTTCAAAACCAGCAGTGTCAAGCTTGTCGCTTGTTCTATATAGGCTGGAATATTGCTGCACACTAACAGCACCTTTCAAGGCAGGTGAAATTGCTGACCTAGAAAATGTACAGAGAACTTTCACGGCACACATAACTGCGATAAAACACCTAAATTACTGGGAACGCTTGAAGTTCCTCAACCTGTACTCCCTAGAATGCAGGCGGGAGAGATACATGGTTATATACACTTGGAAAATCCTAGAGAGAGATTAGTACCAAACTTGCACACGAAAATCACTCCCTATGAAAGCAAAAGACTCCGCAGACGATGCAACATCCCCACAGTGAAAAACAGGGGTGCAACTAGCACGATAAGAGACAACACAATAAGTGTCAGGGGCCCAAAACTCTTCAACTGCCTTCCAGCATACATAAGGGGGATTACCAATAGACTCCTGGCTGTCTTCAAGCAGGCACTGGACAGACCCCTAGAGTCAGTACCTGACCAGCCAGGCTGTGGTTCGTACGTCAGGATGCGTGCGGCCAACAGTAACAGCCTGCTTGATCAGGCCCTGATCCACCATGATGCCTGGTCACAGACCGGGCCGCGGGAGCGTTGACCCCTGAAATCCTCTCCAGGTATAGAAGTATGTGGAAAAAGACACTAATGTACAGATCAAGATATTTATTAAAGGAAACGTTTCGCCACGAGTGGTTTCTTTAGTCCTAATACAGAGAAAACTAAGAAAACGCGTATATACATAGTGGCAGGAGTCAGGTGGAGTATCGTGTGGGTAGCGGTAGTAAGTGGTGGTGGAAGTAATGTGGTGAGACGGGTTGGGTTCGAGATATCATGTTACAGCAGTCTCCAGAATGGGTAATATCCTGTTGATTAGCAATTTAGAGATACTGTAAATAACAAAAAGGCACAATACCGTGACTGGAACGATACACAAATAACCCGCACATAAAAGAGAGAAGCTTACGACGACGTTTCGGTCCGACTTGGACCATTGACTTTGTCAATGGTCCTGACTATGGAACTGAACTTCTCCAGGCCGAGGGACTGACAACCTCAAATTCTACGACTTCAAGGGTGATGGACTGATTACATCGTCTTCACATCTCTACTGTTCCTGCCTACTTTCTGTATTCGACTGAAGAAGCCTACTGTGTAGGCGAAACGTTTCGGAATAAAGTTGCCTAACTGTTGCCTATGTGTCTTACCTACCAGTCCATACGTAGGAGAAACTTGAAGAACAATAGGAGAATGGATAATGAGAACCTTCAAAACTAGGGAGGCCAAGCCCATGATGACACTCTTCAGGTCACTTGTTCTATCTAGGCTGGAATATTGCTGCACTCTAACAGCACCTTTCAAGGCAGGTGAAATTGCCGACCTAGAAAATGTACAGAGAACTTTCACGGCGCGCATAACGGAGATAAAACACCTCAATTACTGGGAGCGCTTGAGGTTTCTAAACCTGTATTCCTGGAACGCAGGAGGGAGAGATACATGATTATATACACCTGGAAAATCCTAGAGGGACTAGTACCGAACTTGCACACGAAAATCACTCACTACGAAGCAAAAGACTTGGCAGACGATGCACCATCCCCCCAATGAAAAGCAGGGGTGTCACTAGCACGTTAAGAGACCATACAATAAGTGTCAGGGGCCCGAGACTGTTCAACTGCCTCCCAGCACACATAAGGGGGATTACCAACAGACCCCTGGCAGTCTTCAAGCTGGCACTGGACAAGCACCTAAAGTCAGTTCCTGATCAGCCGGGCTGTGGCTCGTACGTTGGTTTGCGTGCAGCCAGCAGCAACAGCCTGGTTGATCAGGCGCTGATCCACCAGGAGGCCTGGTCACAGACCGGGCCGCGGGGGCGTTGACCCCCGAAACTCTCTCCAGGTAAACTCCAGGTAAACTCCAGTCCCTCAACCTTGAGTCGATGTTCAGTCCATCAATCTTGAATAGAATACGGCATATGAGCGGAGAAGCAGCTTATAAACCGGTTATAAGAGAGGTGCACCTCTCCTGCCATACGGTTTATAACCGTTTTCCCGCTCATATCCGGAAAGCAAAAGATTGGGACTGAACCATCCCCCAAGGGGGGGACTGATTTTAAAACCTAAAATTTCCCCAGGGGCCCAATTT